GCTCTCATCATACGGGATTTGGTCCTAGAGTGTAGTAGTAGTAGTTAAATTGATCATGTGCACAGTTCTAATCTATGTTTCATCCCTAAAAATGCAATAGGTTACAATAGGTACATGAACTACAAATACTGACTTAGAAAGAATAAAAGGGGAGCTTGGAGGAGCGAAAGTTGAGGTGCCATTTAGCGTTAGTGTACTGATGTTTGTGAACTTTGCAGTGCTTTGCAGCACCAACCGCAGATACAGTTCTACAGATCACATTACGACAACTTGCAGTTAGTTGCCTTAAGGATAAAAACTGATTTTATTTCAGCCACATTACAAAATATAGGATCATGTTTGTGTGATATTCATACAGTCATTGACTTTATGAAAAGAAACCCCACAAAAAGTTCTTAAATATTAAAGTATCACAGGGCAGTAACAAGAACTTGATTTTTTGGTGTACTGTACCAGAAAACCAGCTTACTCATTGCTCAATGGCGTTTATATGTTTTGGAAGGCTAAATATTAGACATAAATAAAAATGTATGATTTCCAATATATTATGGTGTTTTCATTACAAACAATAATACTACCAAAGTACTGTTAAAATTTTCAACTTTTCATTTTCAATTAAAGACTGAAATCAGAAATCGACAAAATAGGTGAAACCCGTTACAGACGGTTACTTTTTACGTTACACGGCAATTTAGCTAACCACGATAGATAGGGTGAAATTATAAAAATTTTGAACATTTAATTGTATTTATTGAGTAAAAAGGGAAAGTACACCCCCAAATGACGCAACAGTACCTTACAAAATGTGGTTCATTACTTCGTAAAGTACAATATTGCCAGTCCTTTCATCGGCCAATGGTTACCCATGTTTTGCGGAATCTTCCATTTGTTTCTTAGCTATACATTTCTCAATTTCTTATTAGTGAATTACTAATTTGATGATATCTCATAGGCCTGCACTGAGACCAACGCACATTTTAATGGTGCAAAGATTTCTGTACATATAAAAATAGAAAAACTAATTTTATAACCGTTGTGTATTGTATTATAAAAAAGAAACATCATAAAAAATTAGGGGCTGCTGTTGACTGTATGTATTGAAATAACTTAACCAACTAATACAATTTGAGATTTCCAGAGTAGGATTATTTTTAATATGCAAATAAATGTTTATTGAACTTTAACACAAATATTAAAATTGTTGTTTTTTACATTTTTAATTTATCAATGTTTGTTAACAAAGTAGTAGAGTGACTATCACTTTAAAATGGTTCAAAATACCAAAATAGCACATAATGATGGCAACCATGCCAAGGATTCCTGCTGGCCACATTAACACAGAATGCCAGTAATGTATTGGTGGTGATGTCAAAACATAGCATATCCCGCCAAGTAATATTAAATCAAGAATGTTTTACAATTTGTTATCAGTCCACTTGTCAACTAACTTTGAAAAAGATGATCAACTGTATAAAATTGACGATATGCAATTTTAAGGTACAAGGTCATTTTTTTCCTAAAACTAATAACCGTATTTCACCTGTGATGCAAGTTAGTGATTGTGAAGAAAAATTTATGTACCCAAGAAATTAATTAGCTTCATAAAGAGTAAATAGCACTAGCGTATGTATGTAACCTGGATTAACAATAACCAACAGGGGCTGAACCAGAGAGAGATGCATAAAGCGTTGGTCTATATCCTGTGCCAGCATTTCACTATACAGGGTGAATAAAAAGTCAAGACCCCCCCCATCTAATATTTTTCCAAGTAAATATATAGAGATATCCTTTTGGGGGTCGTGCAATCTTAGCAAGAAGTTTCATTTTGTGATTTTGAAATTTTTGAGTAACCCCCCAAAAGGGGGGAATTGGGGGGTAACTCAAATATTTTAAATGTAAACCCCCATTTAGTGACACCTCATTTTGAAGTGTTTACAAAAACTTAAAGAATGGTGAAAACCAGAGTTCGTTATCTCTTCTCTATCCAAAATGGTAGCCAATATTACCATTACGAACCAATTTTACCATTGATTTTCCACAACATTTGATGGGCTACCATGTTGGATAGAGAAGAGATAGCGAACTCTGGTTTTCACCATTCTTTAAGTTTTTGTAAACACTTCAAAATGAGGTGTCACTTGAAGGGGGTTTACATTTAAAATATTTGAGTTGCCCCCCAAATCCCCCTTTTGGGGGGACACTCAAAAATTTCAAAATCACAAAATGAAACTTCCTGCTAAGATTGCACGACCCCCAAAAGGATATCTATGTATATTTACTTGGAAAAATACTAGATGGGGGGATCTTGACTTTTTATTCACCCTGTATATTATCTGACCACTGACCTGTTGCCAGTATCATCAATGTTTGTCTTGATAGAAGCTATGTTTAGTATCATTGTTCGCTGCTCACTGAACACAGAGTTGTACTCATTTCAAACTCGTATACTTACAACTACAATAATCATGCTCAGTTTTAACAATATGATCAATTCAAAAGTTGAAAGATTTTGCTTGGGTGATTTGATTTCTGTAATTTAGTATACTGTAAGTTAAAAAAATATGTAAATATATAAATGTACGTTGTTAATTGCATTAAATAAATATAGTAATAGTATACTGTTATGGTCATTTTTTGATAACAGACTTTTCTTGTATTTATTAAAGAAACCGTGGACAGTTAACAGTAGTTAAAGCTGTATTGTTGAATGTCCTATGTCCATTAGATAGTTGTGCGCCAGACCGAGTACCAAGGTTTTGGTTTTGACGTCATTGTCGCGGTGTCCTGTGTCAGAGTTCAGAGCATGACGAGGGGATCGTCTGTCACAAGTTACTCTACTCTGCCTTTCATCCATACAGCATACACCCTGCACACTCATCCTGCAAATAGTCCAAACGCACACACACACTATGCGCTTCTATGTAAAGACATTGCAAGATGGCTTGACAACATCAGACGATTTTGTTTTTACATCTTACACCCAGAACATAGCCAACACTTAAAATTATTTTTTTGATAAAAAATAATTAATTGTATACACAATTTTGTTTCACTATTTTGAAATAATTATTTTAGAGGCAATATGATTTATTACTATTTAACATAGTTTGAGATGGATCTACTAACTTTAATAATAATACATCTTCTAGGTGTATTAAAAAAAATATTAATGAAATATGTGTGTGTTTGCATCTTATTTAAATGGAAACATACTTTGAGCTGTCATAAAGTCTTGTTCTAAGCCAAGCTACATCTTTGGCCTGAACTATTTATTGGAAATTTAAAATCCAATATCATGAGAACAGCTGGGTCCAGGTTGAAATCAAGAAAAAATAGTTGACTCCTTTTCCTAAAAGTGCAATTATTTGGGTTAGGGAACGTGCAGTTGGGTTTGGGATGGGGTGCAGTTTAGTTATATACGAAGTTATTTTTCTTCTGAATAAGTTATGTTAGGATGTTATTTTATACGCCAAACCATTCATAACGGAAGTCATGTAGGCAATTAATTCCCCTCCCATACAATAAATAAACTAGTGGCAAACCTAAAAAGTCTGTATTTTGTACCTGGTGAAGCAGCATGTCCCTACAACATTGAGTCATTGCCCTGCTATTAATCCCAATCAGTGAAGAAGGGGACACTGTCACTGACAACACTGTGCTCATAGCAGTGTGAAGTGTTACTGGTTCTGTTGAATATTATACATGGTCCGGCAAAAAAACTCCCATACATCCAGGAAACAAATCACTCAAAATCGCTAGCTGTGAAGGGTGTAGGCTTACTGTAGACATTGCAAACCTTGTTGAAACCGCTTGTCTTGTTCGAACCAGATTAATCACTTTTCATTGTCCTTAAAATATTTGTTACTTGTCTGAGTAACTGATCGACTATTTGATAGTAGTGATTTGAATGTGGATACTGTTACTACCAGCCATCTTCTTAACAAATATACGAGGCATGTTTTTTAAGTAAGTACCGTTTTTAAATTTCTCCGTTCCAGCGCTGCGATTGGCATTTTGGACATTTGCGCTGTGTATGTGCATCTATTGGCAAGCCCTAGCCAGAAATTCGACAACCGTCGAATCGGCCGTGTTTACTTCCGGTTTCAAGCATTCAAAATGGTGCTGCTAATTGAGGCTGCCGCCAACTGTGAAGTGCGCGCTGTAGTTAGATTTTAAATTGCTATAGGTGTGAAAGCCATATGACATTTATCGACAGATTAATGAAATGTATGGCGAGAACATTATGAGTGACGGAATAGTACGCAAGTGGGTAAGGGAATTTAAAGACGGCCCCACCAGCGTTCATGATGAGCATTGCACTGTACTGGGGACAGTAATGACAGATGGCCGCCCAGTGTGTTGCTCAGCATGAACGTTGGTGGGGCCGTTTTTAAACTTCACAGTCGGCGGCAGCCTTAATTAGCGCCAGCGGCACCATTTTGAATGTTCGAAACCGGAAGTAAACACGGCCAATTGTTGTCGAATTTCTGGCTAGGGCTTGCCAATAGATGCACATACACAGCGCAATGTCCAAAATGCCAATTGCAGCGCTAGAACGGAAAAATTAAAAAACGGTACTTACTTAAAAAACATGCCTCGTATATATAAATATGTGGAGTGGTAAAAAAAAACAAATTCAGAAATTGCACACCAAACTGTCAAATGACATGAAGTGGTCATTGAAAGTTGGAAGTTCCTACAGGTTTTTTGGAGCCCAGTAGTGGAAATTGGTATTCCTGTATTTACCTTTGCTTTACAAATGGAATATACTATTTCTTTAGCACATTTCACAATTTATTTCCCGAAGCAAAATTACAAAAGTGTTCGCTAACTGAAAATGTTACAGCTATACAAAAGACAACAACATAAATTAATATGCATATGCTCCCTGCAATGGAATAAATGAGAAATTAGAAATGTCTTCTGGAAATAAACACATTACTGTAAACATTTCCATGAAAGGTTAGATACTATTATGGTATTTAAAATATAACAGTATATTTTCTTGTTGGATAAAACTTTTATTTTACAAAATACATTCAGTAAGAATTATTTACACGAATCTTAAAACTATGACCTAAATATGAAGTTACAGATTAAACCTAATCACTGTCACTGTCTCCAGACTCGTACTCTCCCACATCAATGCTGAACTTGTACTCCTGATCACAACCAAGGTAGGCATCACTCATGAAGTACAATGTGTACGAGTGGTGACCTGCACAGCAACAATAACAGTAAGATCAGTAAACTATAATCTTTACTAACTAATAAATTAAGGTAGAAATAAAACCTCCTCACTAAAAAGCATATATTTGAGCGTATGAGAATTTACTTTAAACCATAATTATTATTATGTTGAAATTAGTATTAAAAATAGTTTTATGAAAAAATAAATTTTGTTGAATCCCAGAGTTGAATTCACACTGATAAGAAGAGTAATCATAAATAGACATTAATAAAGTAATTTCTAACTAATGCATCATCTATCAAAGCTCATTGCTAAGATCCTAAATACTAGTATAGAATCATATGCAAATAACTAAGCTACACATAGTCAGTTTGGTGTGTTCACACGGAACTGACCGTTTTTGTAAGCAAAACTGATGTGAGGTTACATCAAAAAATTGAACTAATGAAAATTTATAATTTTGGCATGACACAGCGCACTGACGTCAGTCCGAAGTGAGCGTGTGCACCGTCGCGTCAGTTCTCTTCTATAATTTTACCCAGTCCTTGTGGGGAAACGTTAGTCAAATATTTTAAGTCCTCCAATAACCTCTCCGTTGCTAAAGAGCAAGAGCTAAAGAGTTGCTGTTAGGTGTTATTGGTAAACACATGTTTGTATCTTGTTTTTAACCAAAGGAGAAATGTGTGCAGGTCCAAATACGATACCCTGCCCATCCTCAAGTAATTATTCCAGTCTTCAGGATGAAATCGCAACTCCTCCAAAATGTTAATATGACAGTATTTAGCTTGTTTTAAAAGTAAAAGGTTTAAAAGTTAAAGAGCTCAACCCATACATTTCGCTTGATTCGACACTATATAGAAATAACAATCCATCGTCCGAAAACATAATGTAACACAATACAATACATAGCTTACTTTTAACAGAGGACTAGAGCTTCCAGTTAGCACATGGAACTGACAGGCCAATGTGATCGTGTGGATGTGAATGTTGCATTCAGTTAGAAGTGACAGTTATAAATGAACACACCAAACTGACACATAAATCTGAATGCGTGTAGGCCGCTATCTGGTGCAGCTTGTACAATTTAAGAGCATTTTTATTGTTAAGTTTTATAAAAAGGTTTCAGCAAGTTATTTGATATAAAAACAGTTTTTAATTCTCTGTATTACACATACATATGAAACTATTTTCTGTGTTATGAAACATAGTAAGGATAGTTTATAACAACATAAACTTACCTGGATTGGGTGCAACAAAATCTAACTTGACTTTGGCTTTCTGTTGCAATGTCAACCTCTTGATGGAAAGGAGAGAATTTGCCTTTGGATCTCCGATTACCACCCACCATCCTTCTTCACGTTTCTATTAGGAAATAAAATCATATATGAATAGGCAGACAATTCTAACACAAACACAAAATGTATTGTTTAGCAGCTTAAGACAAGTTATTTTTTGACAGGTCAAATAAAATTTAAAGACTCATTTAAGAGATTCGTAGCAAATCATAGGTCTAAATGAGTCTAATTTTTAGACCAAAATTATAAGTTAATCAAGGTAAATTATTATTATTATTTTATGGCCAGCATTGGACCACTTAAGTCAATATAATGGTTAGATTCTTTTTAAATTCTGTCTCTTCTTCTTGTCCGCCCAATACTTCTTCATTCTTTCCGACCGTTGTTTTCTTTCTTCTTCCGAAACCACTCTTCCTTGTCTCTGATTGTTTGCTCCTATTGGCAGGATGATATTTTTGTCTTTGAGTACTGTACGCGCCTCTGGCTTATTTTCCAAATCTTCTAATGATATTTTCAACCTTCTCGAATGTCCTCCTTAATCTCTGTAACCCACCTAAAGTCACTCTTGCTATTCCACAACTTGTCAATTATTTTCTTGCTTATTCTATTTTCCGGTGTCCTTAAAAGATGTCCAATGAATGAAATTCTTTTCTTTTTAATTATACTTGTCAATGGCTCTATTTAAAGGTAAATTATATAAGATTTTTATGGATAAAAACTATTAAACCTTTTCAATGAGGAAAATGTAATATATACTGTCAAAATCACTTGATAGGTGAATATTGAATAAAATATTAAGACTCAGGTGCGCCAATGACTAATCTTGAGAATGGGTCATCGGAATTCCAACCCCTGGAAATTTACCCCCATGAAAAAATGGCTACATCATTTATAAGTCACAGGTCTGGGGATTGATTTCCGGCAGCAAACTTTTAGGACGGATAAATTATTATCTATTTCAGTCAACTCACATTTCACGGTTTACTTAACAGTTGTAATTAATCAAAATCCCATTAACACGTTCATATGCGACGCCGCGGTCATTGCCACAGACCGAGGTATACATTTGAATCTTACACATAGACCGACTGTCACTTGGATAACAGTACACACAGACCACGGGCGAAAACCTGTAAAACAGTGATCATTTACATTGTAATACGCTACAATCGTGTTTGTAAATAAATTATTCTTGTTTATTTGTATTTTTTATAACCTTTTATAATGTCGCATATTTGCGACGCCCGGTCTACAGCGAAGACAATAGTGAAAATTATCATAGTTTTCTTGAAATAGACTAAACGTCGCATATATGCGTCAGTTCATTTTTTTGTGTTTTAAGGTGAAAGTAAGTAAATAAATAAACAGATTATTCAAGAACAGTTAATAACTGAACAAATATAAAAGCTACATAGGATAATGCAGCATACATACTGCATACATACATACAGTGATGCAGAAAAGTAAAGATCAGTTTTTCCATTTATTATATGACGTCACCAATCATCATATCCACAGACCAAGCGACGCAGTTGTGCGTCAGACATCTCTGTAGACCACTGCAGGGAATTCAATGCCTTCAAATAGACCACAACAAAGATATAAGCATTTTAATAACATTAGAACCCCGACGCAAATATGCGTCGGCAGTCTATTTTAATGTGACTAGCCGTCGCATATATGCGACGGCAGTCTATGGGTGGAAACCGGCCGTCGCATATGTGCGTCGCTGGTCCATGTGAATGGAAAATTTCGTACTATTGCAGTAGCGAACGTGTTAAACCTGACACCGGAATTTTACCGCCCGAAATCTACCAGTGGTCAAATCAGAAATGTCCGACCCCGGAATTCTTCCCCAGGAAATCTACACCTGGAAATCTCTAACCGCCTGTGGTCGGCTACGCTATGTATCAGCCAAGATTCATTGTTGATGTTGTAGTTGATTTTATTAATTAGTTTATGTAAATCAATGGCTCTTCGGTTAATCACTACCTTCTATTATCCCATCAGATTGCCTTCAGATATCACATGCTTAGTACTGGAAATTAGAAGGTAATAATTAACCGAAGAGCCGTTGGTTTACAACGGCCGGAATTCTACCCCATTTCCGAGGGTAGAATTCCGGAGTCGGACATTTCTGATTTTACCACTGGGGGTAGATTTCCGGGGGTATATTTCTGGGAGTAGATTTCCTCGGGTAAAATTCCGTAGTATGACAAATCACTTTATAAGCAAACAATTACATGTTGATACATATTTTGGGGGTTAATTTCCAGTCGCGGGCTGCTTCTCGACCGTGTTTGCCCCTCAAGACGTCAAAATGAAGTAGGCACTTTTTCATTGAAATAAATTTCCGGGGGTAGAATTCCGCTACCCCTTGAGAATAGCATCGCCATAAGACAAGTGAAGTCACAGTAAACTACAGTGATACAGTATCAGTAGAAGTGGACTGAAAAACTGTCAGTTTTTTATTTCAAGATTATTTTGGAGGACTTTCAGTACAGTAGAGTTGTATAGCCAAAGAACGTACCTGGGGGAAGAATGGAGCAATGACTGGTCCGGTAACTTCATCCTCTCTCTCTAGAGACACTACGACATTGACAGTAGAACCAGAGCTGATCCTGTCTTTGTTCTGCACCTCATAGCTCAACTCAATGTTGGGGTAACGGTTACAGAACCGGGCTACATCAGTGATCTGGGCCTCATTGAGCTGCAGCAGCTTGATGCGGTCTTGGTCATCAAGCTCCATCATGTCAAACACTGTCTCCACACCCTGAAACATACAGAAATTAACAGAATGTCTCAATGTTGGGGTAATGGTTACAGAACCGGGCTACATCAGTGATCTGGGCCTCATTGAGCTGCAGCAGCTTGATGCGGTCTTGGTCATCAAGCTCCATCATGTCAAACACTGTCTCCACACCCTGAAACATACAGAAATGAACAGAGTGTCTCAATGTTGGGGTAACGGTTACAGAACCGGGCTACATCAGTGATCTGGGCCTCATTGAGCTGCAGCAGCTTGATGCGGTCTTGGTCATCAAGCTCCATCATGTCAAACACTGTCTCCACACCCTGAAACATACAGAAATGAACAGAGTGTCTCAATGTTGGGGTAACGGTTACAGAACCGGGCTACATCAGTGATCTGGGCCTCGTTGAGCTGCAGCAGCTTGATGCGGTCTTGGTCATCAAGCTCCATCATGTCAAACACTGTCTCCACACCCTGAAACATACAGAAATGAACAGAGTGTCTCAATGTTGGGGTAACGGTTACAGAACCGGGCTACATCAGTGATCTGGGCCTAATTGAGCTGCAGCAGCTTGATGCGGTCTTGGTCATCAAGCTCCATCATGTCAAACACTGTCTCCACACCCTGAAACATACAGAAATGAACAGAGTGTCTCAATGTTGGGGTAACGGTTACAGAACCGGGCTACATCAGTGATCTGGACCTAAGTGGTTAACAAAATTTTCTATTAATGTGTACATGAACTCTTAACCCTTCCCAAGTGTTGGCGTAAATATTCCTCAACGACGTATATATACGCAGCTCAATCTGAAGGCCACAGCGTACGACGCATTTACTGTCTAATCTCTATAGACGAATTTTAAGGGGTAGGGGAAAAATTCCTACTTTTGAGGTATTCTTAATAAAGAGGTTCTTTATATCGAGGATTAATACTGCCATTTTTTGTCTTATAGAGACCAAACAATGACTGAGGAAGGAAGAGGGATGGGTGGGGGTTGAGACATGCTTCTGTTTGTTATGAAAACTACGTAATATGGATCATGAGGCGTTTCGTCTTTTAGATGTCGCATTCGTCTTGTAGAGGTTTTGTGCTAAGAATATTTGTTCTATAGAGGTTTAATCAGTCCTAGCCCATGTCACAAACAACTTCGTCTTATGGAGGTTTTTAACCTTATTACTACATTGTATAGAGGTGTTTTTAGTATTGACTTTTATGAACGTTTCAGGGGGATTTAAAAAAAATTTTCTTATCAAGGAATTCATTTTACCGAGGTTCGTACTAACGAGGTTCGGCTGTATACGTCAAAACATGTTAATGCCATTTATGTATTTTAAATTTGTTTCTTGGCTGTCAACAGTTACCTTAGGCCATTAACCCATTGGCCTATTATTGTTGTGATAACTGTTTTTTTTGTGGTAAATTTTTTAATTGATAGGTTGGCATCACTGATCCCGTAACATCTGTTGTTTACAAAACCGGTCGCTGAGTCATCCTCATGTTATTGTTTAGAGAGTCTGTTTACGTGTTCTAGAGTGAAGTAAATCTAGTAAGATAAGATCATCGTGGAATATTTAGTGCTTTAGAATGTGTTGTGTTGTTGAAAATTACGTCAAGATTGAATGATCCGAATCAATATTTTTATTGTATTATGATTAGGCCTAAATAAGTCTGTTTTGTCTTTTGGTGATAATTAAGACTTATTGTTCCAACCACTCACTCATTGTTTAATCAATTAAATTGGTCTTAACAGCTGATAAATTGACGTTTAAAGTATTACCATTTTACTTCTTATCTCTCAATTTTTGAACCTCATTGGTCTGTTACTCGTGTTATAAAGTAAAACAATGATGCTGTTCAGTAAGTGAACAAGCTGTTGATAAGTTAATCTTTTCAATTCTAAGGACCGAATTGAAACGGCTAGTTCAAAATACGGTGAAAGGTAAACATGTGTAACAGCATTTTTCACGTAACATGTTAAACAAGCTGACTAAAATAAAATGCAAGGGACAGCACTAAAAATTCTAAATTAATTCTTAAAACCTAAGGTGAAAATAAATTTAAGTTGAACCATAAGTCCTATTTTCCAGTAAATAATCACAAAACTATGATACAAAGGCAAAGGTGTAAAACAGTATAATTAACAAGGATCTACACTGATGTAGTGATCACTGATCAGTACTTTACCTTGTCTGTGCATCTCTTGATAATGTCTACAGTGAAGTGTGGCAGTTGCTTGAGGTAGGAGTCCTTGCTCCACATGGCCTGTGTGACCATCTGGGCCAGCTCCATAGCAGCCACAGCCGGAGACAGCCATCCGTTGGAACTCAGCACGTCCACACACGCTTGGATCAGCCTGATAGCCTGCAAAACATTTAAATTTGTACCTTTATTGTGCTGATCGACAGTGCAGCAGTCTCGGGTTTTTATCTAGGGGGTTTGTTGTTCAGAAGTGTTATTGTGCCATGTGGGATGTTGGTGAAGTTTTACTGTGGCCCAAACACCACAAAAGTAATGTTTTACCTACTGTACTTTCAGTTTTAGTTGAGGTTTTAAATAATTTGCCTACAAGACATGTGACCTTTATTTATCATAGGCACAAGTTACTTGTTTAAGGTGATAGAAACCAATTACAATGATAGAAATAATATGATATGGAAGGTGTAGTTGAATTAAAGGATGAGTTTATGTAGACAGCTTAGGAGGGAGAGTAGACAAAGAAACAATAAGATAGTTTGTACATGGAAGGGAAGAGAATTCCTAAAAAAAATAGTTGTCAGAGCAGAGAGAAAAAATACTAAATAGGGCTTTGACTTGGAGGGAAGAAAGTGATTAAAAGAAGATGGAGTTGCCTATTTAAGGCCCAGATCCAGGACTAACTAGATGTAAAAGGATGTGAGTGAAAAAGAAGAAAAAAGTTAGTCTTAGAGCACTAGACAATATAGTAAATACACTGGATATTTTTCAAAAGGGTATAGACCTTGGCCAGTATCATCTCAGTGTCGCCTTGTAGTTCAGCACCCAGCTGTAGTCGTGAGAGGTGAGCCTGTAGAAGAAGGTTGACCTTGACGTGTGGGTCGTTGAAGCGAGGGTTGCCCTGTAGCTTGTTAGGCAGTCGGGCCGCCAAGCTGCGTAACAGCTGATCCTCTCTGTGTCGCACGGGAACTGCCTCGTACTCTGCAGCTGAGGAGATGATCTCCAGGAGACCGCGGATCTTTGTCTTGCTGTTCAGCGACAGTGAGAACAGTTCTGCACAGCATTGATTCATAAGAAATAGTTGTGAGTTGTAGCACAAATAATACTGAATTTTTATATACAAGTAGGGTGTAACATGGAAGTTCCATCAGAATTAAAGCAATTATGAATATATTTATGTGATAACCAGTAACCACAAATAATAAATTATCCACAAAGTTTATCACAGCACTATTTTGATTTTACATGAAGAAAATAATGGTACATTGGAAAATGTAATTTGAAGATACAATAATTCAAAAGGAATACAGCTTCTAAACAATGAATGTAATGTGAATATTTTTTATTTTCCTCGTTCAATTGGGCAGAACAAAACATCAACAGTATCTTGGCTGTTTTATAATGCAAGATCAATTATATTTGTTATTAAAATTTATTGACTGACAGACAAATTGAAATTAATGTAGTACATCAAACAGTACACAAATAAAGAGTTTCAGAACATACCGATTGTGGTGTAGTTGATGTAGTAGTAAGCTGCGATCATGCCCAGGTTGAGTGGGTGGCAGTCCATTTCATCTTCTACGCTGATGCACTGTAACCAATCATACAGTGATGTGAGTAAAATGCATTGGTTTAGAACTAAACCAAAAATAATAAGTGTAAGTTATTTAGCAACTGATATTTCATATAATGTAATAAGCAATTATCAGGCTGCAAATTGATTCATCGTCAAAAAACGATAAGATATAATTTAAAAAAGAAATTTGTAGTTAAAAGTGTAGCCTATTGAGTTCAAAATGATCACCTTGGAGTGCTCGAGATCGTTGAGAGTGTTCTCCACCAGCTCTGACAGATGGTCAGACAGGTGTCTGTGAGTGACGCCCTGCAGGTTGTAGTAGTTGGGATTCTGTGTCAGTCTACGGTACAGGAATGTCCAGGTGAGGTAGTCAACAGCGTCTTGCTTGTTGTCTATGGTCTTGGTCACAATCTCCGCATTGAAGTGATCATGTAGCCTGTGGTCCAAGTGACTCTGGGACACAATATGAAGTATATGAAGGTAAAAGTAAAGAGACACAATTGTTTATGTTACCTATGTAGTTTTTTTTAAACAATTTCATTGATTTTGTTAAGCAATAAAAACAAGTTACTGTATCATGCTTTACAAACAATGTTGTAAACTGTAGTTGGATTTTTAAGCGCAGCAGAGGTTTTCAATTTGTTAACAAAGAGAAAATACCTGATTGCTGCAATTTTTTTTGGGTTAAACCAAAACCTATTAAAGCTGTGATTTAATGGAAATACGCATTATCGCATATAAAGTTTTGAGTTCAATTATTCTGTAATTTTTACCTCAACAGGTAGTGATTCATTTAAGAATTTCTTAAAGAAGTCCTTCTTGCTGCTCTGACACATAAGTACACACTTGGCATCGTCATCTTCCAGCGGCCTGTTGGCTCTACCAACCATCTGCAGCACATCTGTGATGGGGTAGTCTTCATAGCTGGAAACATTAACAAATATGAAGCTGACGTTGTAGAATTTGTTATTCAGAAGCATAACTAACGTGTGATATATTAGTTATGTTATTTTACTGAATCTCAAAGTATAGATTGGCAAAAGAATCCTTGTTAATGAAAAGCTGTATTCTAGTAAGTTCCATTCATTGATGTAAGCTAGATTAAACCACAGAGGAAAGAGGTGAGGGACAACGACAACAGAGCTAGATGTCAATAAAATATAATGGCTAAACCTATCAACCAAACAACCTTACATAAGTAAGATCAATTTCATGCTTGCATAAATATTTGGGAAATAATTATGCACATTAATCTCTGTTATATTCTAACCTCTTTCTAACCTCTCTTGTTATATGCCTAGAATTACCAGCATGACATATTGCTATATATGATTTGCAATTAGGCATCTATTTCTGTATACTTGAGAGAGTTATCTTAATTAAATTGTATTCCTTCCAATAAATGACTGAAGAGTTTCAATATGCAATTGATTAAATTAACAACTTACGCATGAATTTTGCCATTGTAGAACTGTGTGTCCATGATGACGACAAGGTGAGCGAATATGTTGAGAGCCCAGCACAGGTTGCGGGTGACTACAGCCACTTGTACAGCGCCAGAGTCAAACAGCTGTTCTACAAGACGGTGATCACTCTTGGACAGACCCTCGTGTATGTACGCCACTCCTTGTGACAGAGTCTCCTTCAATGTCTGGAACACAATATGCTCACATTACATCACATTCCGACTAAAACTGGCATCAACACATTAAAATAATAACCTGCATTAAGTATTTGGAACAAAAATTCAGTTTTGCAAAATAAGCAGTTATTTCTTACAATTAAATTTTCTGATTTTAAGTTGAAGATTAAAATGACGATTCTTACCTTGTCAACCATTCTGTCAAGGAAAGGTTTGATGTCCTCCTCTTCAGCGTGGAAGAAGCGGTTGGGTTGTCCTTCGGCAGCAGTGAAGGTGAGAAGGTCGATGGCAGTCAGGCGAGCTTGCTTGCGAGTTGGCACAAACACAATCACAGGCTTGTGTGGACTGTGTTTCAGAATTGCGTTGTACACTGGCTTGCCCATCGCTATCAGACGAGATGCGTTGTGGGTGATGTTGAAACCCTACAAGTACAAGACAAATGTCAAGTTTTGTGGATTGATTACTTTGAAGGAGTTTGATAATATAATGAGTTGGTTTTTTTGAATGATCTAAATAGTTGAGTGGGCGAAACTAACCCACAAGAACGACCTGAAGACCATCTTGCTAATCATTCTTATTTTATATAGATATAAAAACTAAGTTAAAGTATCTGATCAATATTTAATTTTCAGTGATGAGAACCACAGTAGCCTCACCTGGACGTGCAGCTCCAGAGGCACGGGTCGCACGCTGGGGTGGAAGTTGAACGTAGTGTTGGGGCTACAACCCAGCCACTGAGCAGCATCTCTGGCATCTGCCAGTGACGAGGAGAGTGCGATGATCCTCACCTGCTTGTCCAGCTGAGAGGAGATGTAGCGCATACGAGAACAAACCACTTCCAGCACTGGACCCTCATCACCACCGATTTGCTGGGGACAAGCAACAAAAACACTTAAAACTACCTACTATAGAGAAAGGAGAATTCACCCTGGAATCTACAAGAAAGGTAATACTGTGAATAACCAATATAGGAGTACATAGATTAAATTCAGATTTTTCTTATTAATGTGATGAAACAATAACTTTTTATGAATTGTGACTCTTGATGTATGTGGTTACACAAATGAATCAGTACTTACTTGGAGCTCATCTACAATAAACAGTTGAACATTCTGTACATTCTTCCTCTGTTTCCATCTCCTTGACAGTACATCCCACTTCTCAGCAGTTGTGATGATGATCTGACCTTTGGCAAGCAACTGAAAAAAAAACATTTTACAGTTATCATAGAATACTTAATATAGAATAGTGTGCCTAAAAAGCTGGGTTAACGTTTTATAAGATAAACATTATATATTCATATGCCTATTTACAGTCGCACAAGACCTGACACGTAGGTGAGAGAATTGACTTGAAGGGAACATGGAAAAATTAGTTTTTTTAACTTCTAATAAATCACTACGACAGTCATTTGCATTTAAAAAAGTTTTTTTTACCATCTAGCAGAAATTATTATTGCTTTATTTGTTTGTGTGAAGTAATAATAAGATATCCCTTGGTTTAATGTCTTCTTAACTATTACAAATCCAACAAAAGAAAAAATACCAATGAAATGTAATTTATTTTGCAAGGACAGTGACAACTCTCAATATTTAAAAGGAAATGTAAAGATGTAGGAGCCTTAATCAACATGAAAGGTTTTGGTATGGTATACTTACACTTTGTGAAGTGTTATTTCACAAAATCTGTACGTTTTCTAAACATAGATTTTGTATATTCTACACCCAGATTAGGCCTACCTTTAGATCAGTGCCAGTCTCTCCGGTGAGCATGACAACTTTCTTGCCGAGAGTTGTGTTGAACTTCTGGTGCCAATCAGCAAACACGATCTCAGCCAGTGGCTCCTTGGGTACAAGATACACACATCTGCCATCAGCGTGCTGGGTGAGTAGACGCAACACTGCAAACTCTGCAATGGCTGTCTTACCTGCATAAACACAGAGTCAAATAATCTGTTATTGGTTGACAAATTTTTTGACATTTAAAACGTTTTATGTTGCAGGCCTATTCCTTTCACTATACTGAGTGAAAATACTGAGCATTATATATTTACTCATTTTTAACTAGCTAGGCACAAATTCCTTAATATGGGATTATTTAGAATTAGTTCCTCAGTAGAAAAAGCATTTAATCATAGTTTAAAACTTTTAAAAGTTTGTATAATTTAGAAAATATGACAAGCTAAGAAAAAATTCAACTAATTTACCTACTTTAAAAATGTAAGTATTCACAGAGGGGAAATCCTATAAATGTGTTAGTTAGGTTTTAAATAACAGGTACTTTTAAAATTACTTATTAGTAAATGAATGTTACTGTGGACTGACCTGAACCAGTAGGAGCACCAACAAATATGTTGTCATCACTGTTGTATACCGCATTGAATACTTGAGTTTGGATGGGATTGAACTGAGGGAACTTGTCAGCATACATGGTTTCAAACTGGTAGTTACGCAATGCTGTTACCTGGAAAGGGTTCAAACTAGTATTAGGTGAAGTTTATGTAATTCAAATAACAACATGAAATAATGCACCACTCAATCCTTTTAGAAAAGTGGTGTGGAAAGCAGTTTTCTGTCTGAAATTCTCTTACACAGCAAAATCTAACAACAGACTTGTAGTCAAGCCACTTTTGACTCTTACAAAACGTTCAATTGGTAAAATTATCCATCAGCAAGTACAGTACGGTAATCCAAAATTTGAGCACAACGACAATCACTATTTACGAAAGTATTGCCTTGATGGTTAGTTACTCACAGGCAGGGGCTGCAAGTCTAGCAGCTCTGTGGGAGGAAGGTTCTTCTCAGGCAAGATGAGATGTCTGAAGGAGACAGGAAGCTGAGTCTCAGCTCCAATCCACCGATCAGAAACTATCCTGTAAACAACAAACAACACAAGTAATACATTGCTGGCTAAATATTGACATTGTTCACAATTTTACGAATGGTAAAAAATATTTTGTAGCAAATCAGAAAATAAAAATTGAAGGTCAATAATGCCCATATACAATTATGTCTGGTTTTATTGTTGTGAGTTGCTAATCTGGATAAAGTAAGTTACCTAAAAATGTTTATTTGGGTGAACTCATTGGAGTAAATCCATCACTCACAGTCTGTTTCCAAACAAAATGTTGAGTACATTCCACAGAGAACCTACGATATATCGGATGAATAACGATATATATCAATATGTATAGGATTTGATATTAATATTGCATCATTTTAAACCATATGATAAATAAAAACAAAAGCAAAAACATCCCGTAAAAAGAAAAATTATAGGCTTTATTTGTTTGTCGTGGTTTAGTGGTTTGTTCATTTTTCATTAAATATTAATTGTTTTTGGTAATATATTATTGTTTATATTGATTAAATATTAATAAAATCATACCTCAATTCAATGTTTACACAGTGAAAAAAAACATAAGAACGATATTGAATCAGTTAATTATCGATATACATATAACGTTTTTCACTCGATAATATATCACATGTTCTCTGCAGAACTGTACCCAAAATGTTTTTTGTCCAATAAACACTTCTTTAACACCGTGACTGTGTTTGGTTACTTTTTTAAAATAGAGAGTTGAGTCATATTCTTCCCTTTTATTAGACGAATATAATTCTTCTGACATTATATATAAATTAACACTGGTAAAAACAAAAAAATTATTGCAGTTTAAATGTATTATGGTGCAATTATTTTATTAATTTACAATGAATTAATACAACCAAATGGTAAAATGTGTTGTGCATATCTAAGAGTAATTATTTTATTTTTTTTTACAAATCTTTTATATCGTTTTGCACTATAGTAAAGTACAATTTTCAAACGGTAATAAAATGTATGACGCTTACATGATAACCTAGGAGCCAGGAGATAAGCTCAACAACGGGGAAATCACAGAGATGCTATGCTATATAGTCAGATGAGTAATGACACAACCAAACAGTCTACAAAACGAGGTGTAAGATGTCACTACATTTACAATCACTATTCCTGCTGTGTCTAATGCTGACTTCAATGCTGACTGCTTCTCCAGACATTTTTGAAGACCGCGAATCAGGTAAAATGTTCATAACAACAATTCTATAGGCTAGACTTAATTGATTTTTGAGTATATATTAATTTTAAGAATCTGTAGGCCTATTAGCCTACATCAAATTAATAAGTGTGTCGATAAAGTGATCAAATTCTAATACAATTTTATCTTCTTAAAAAACTGTGATTTATTAAATATAGCCCTAGAAATTAGGAAAAACAAAGAGTACTCATGTTTAAGCCATAAATTGACTACAAATAAAATTAAAATGAGAATGGTGTATTTTTATAGGTCAACAAACCATAAAGTGAGATTATACTCAACGTAAATAGAACTGGCGGGTGAAAGTAATTTATTCATGTTGAAGCCTTCCGGAATTGGTAATGAATTTTGATAATGACTACTTAGTAGTCGAAACTAATCAAGGGAAATTAGACTAAGCAATTGTAGCCGTCAAGGTACGTAACCTGTTATAAGTGAAGGTAATGTTTTTAAATAGGCCAGCTGGTTTTAATCAACCGCCAGTTTGAGTTGACTTGAATAATTTTGGATGTTGTTTAATTAGGTAAATTACCAAAAAAAAATTAAAACTTTATTCAGTACAAGTCACATATTATTGTATGGGTTCAAAAATAATGTCTACAAAAGCAAATCCCAGTTTTCCATGTTCAAATAAACTACAATATATCAAATATTGTTTAAGTCAAGGTGTTGTTTCCAGCGACATCACAGATTCGCTTGCCAAGGTTCACCTGCGATCGGCTGGCCTTCACAGGCAACAGAGCTTGTAACCTCCACTGTAAGGTGCTGGGTCGTGGACAAGGCACCTGCTCAGGGGGAGTCTGTCATTGCCTGCAATGACTGGCGTTATGGCGAGGGACTCAAGGATTGGTTATAATACAAAATGTAAACATAATTTAAAATAAAATTTTTTTTATAGTTTTTGTTTTCCTGATTTACATTTGTTTATTTTTTTTTATTAGCTTTTAAACACAGTGAAGTATAGGCATTGAAGGTTTTACATAAAAAACAATTACTAGAGCATTTAAAATATTTAAAATAAAAAATAGTTATTTTATTTAGGAACTTCTATTTATTTACAGATTTCTACAGGTTTAAGTTTTGTGACATACAAAATACAGCCTACTTGTAGACATAATAGATGGCTTGAAAATTATATATGCACTGTGGATGCCATACTCCCTGGTGTGGATTAAGGTCCACACGTGGATTAGCACGGGTGAGTACTACGACTAGCCGCAGTACTATCCTGATAATTAGACCAATTTGTATATACCAAAGGCAAAAACGTGGTTTGGATTCCACTATAAACTGTAGGTCCCTTAGTTGCCATTAGCTGTATGGGCTATTAATTAACAGCTGTGTCTAAGGAATATGTCGGCCTTAAGTCACTAACAAGACTACAAGATTGCGCCACTCATCCTACACTCATATCCATTCATACTTGGCTTAAAATACATACTTTGTATGGTCGCCATTTCATTGAAAAGTATTAAAATATCCTATAGGAATTATAACAGCTGATTGTAACTGCAATGTATGCTAACAATCTAGGTTACAAGTAACATTACAACTGACCTGAGGAAGTACTGAGGAGGCAGAGGTTCAAAGACTGGTACAAAGAACTTGACCTGGTGCTCGTCTTGGCAGTACTTGGACTTGAGCAGGAAGTACTCATGGTGCAGTATCACCTCAGAGTCTACGTCCTCCACCAAGATCCAGAACGCCTCTGAAGCCCCGTGGATCTTCTCATCCCACTGGAAGTCTGGAGTGATGGTCAGTTCTACTCGCAGTGTTGACCTGACAAGTACACTCATTAGGCTATATCCTAGCTTTACCTTCTAATAGAAAACACACAATATACCTTCATTTCAATCTTTTCAACAGTCAAAAGTCATGACATTTTAAACAACAAATTGTCTATATAAGAAACATGGGATTAAATATCTTTGGCCAACAGCAAATCTATATTTATAAAAGAGGAAGTTTGTAGCCTATATATATATATTTGAACGTTACGGACTCCGAAACCGCTCGACAGATTGTAATGAAATCTTTCAGGCATTATCCGTGACTCTGGACTAATCTTAACAGCTGGTTCAGCTAAACAATTTGATTCTGTGATGTTCAATAGAATTAAAAAGTTAATAGCTTTACCAACAGGGTGCAGCACTATTATTTTTTTAAATTCATGACAACAGCTAATTTGCAACCAAAAGGTGAGTGAGCCTAGCGAAAGAACTTCAACCAGGACGTGATTGAGCCATGCGTATGAGCTCATCTTGAAAATTTCAGTCAACGAGCATTTGACATAAAACCACATTAGGACAGGACGACGTCTGTCGGGCCAGCTAGTTACTTATACATTTCACTATCTAACAATACCTTCATTCCAATTCTTTCAATACTCAAAAGTCATGACATTTTAAACAACAAATTGTCTATATAAGAAACATGGGATTAAATATCTTTGGCCAACAGCAAATTAATAATAAATATTTTAATTTGAATGGGTAGCTTAATAAAACATTAAAACATATGAAAGGTTACTGTTATTTACCTTGTGATTGGCTGGATGTGGGTTGAGAGGTCTAGTTTGGGGAACTGATGCACATACTTGTGGATGGTCTTGCCAAGCTTGGGAACACGGATCAACTCTCCTATCTCATTAGGTCCAAGGTCGTACAACCTGCAATGATAGTGAGAATTAAAATTGCAGTTAACAACGTATATATCCTTAAAGTCTTTCGATAGACTGAGAATAGACTATTAGGACGAATAATAGATCTTCGTTGGGTATTAGTACAATTGCAATCCACGTCAAATTAATGAGACAAACTCAAATTATTTTATTTAAATGAGGTTCAGTTATATTGAAGCTATAATCTTTACTAGACATACCTTTCCCATGGGAAATTCTTCTTTTCGATTTTCTTGACAATTTCTTCAGGCATTTTCCTGAACTGACGTAGAGGTGACATTGACTGCCACATCCTTCTGTCCACCATTTTACACAAGGAGAGAGCTTTGTCTGCCAGCTGGGCCCAGCCACGGTACAGCACTGCCAACACCATGTAACATACATCATAAATACTGATCTCAAACACTTCAAGAACAAGTAATAAAATTATACATCTAGGTGACTTAAGCCAGGTTTTCCTAGGCGCGGAAATGTAGAGGAACCCTGAGCGGACTCCACTTGTCTTAGGTAATTTAATATTACTGTTTTCCTAGAAGCGGAGCGGAACACCATGTTAATCTCTTTTCCGCTCTCCGCGTTCCTCTCTCCGCTTCCGGGCCTAGGAAAACCCAGCTTAAATTGCATCAGTAAGAATAATCACAATCAAAATTCAAGGTGCACATACCCTAAATTTTCTACCAAAAACCAAGTTAATAAGTAAAGTTTAAATTAATAGGCTAAATAAATTGAAAACCCAAGTATAAATTCGAAATGAAAGGGAATTTTTTCTTAGATGTTTTAAGTTATATGTTGGTTAAAGAATAATGATTAGTGTTGAAGAAACATAACACTTTGGACTAGTAGAAAAACACTTCAAAAACACTCCTTTAATAACAATTTTCACTCATATTTGTTAAAAGCACATTGAAAAAACAGTAGATTGCCAATTTTAATTGACAGTTAAATTTATTGTTTGAAAATAATACAATCTCATACAAAGCAAGCACTGACCTATCTCAAAGATGGCTCTCATGAGTCTAGCAGCTGACTGAGTGACATAGACCATGTCTGACATAAGGGCAAAGCCTTCCAGCTTCAGTTGGGAAATGTAAGCTTGCAGGAGCACATTCACTTTGGCGCTGGACTCTTCTATACTTTCCTAAATAGGTAACAGAGAGTTTCATGTAATAGCACTAAAAATTAATTTGAATTGGTTTACTTTAACTATACAATACACAAGTTGAAATGCAATTAGTTCTAAAACATGTAAACAATTATATAAAAAGTAACATTTTATGGTAACTTTGCAGTTCTAAAAAAAAATGTTCTTTGGATATGGACAATTTGTTTAAGCCCCATTCTGATCACATAGGAACAGGTGTAATATATGAATTCGCATACCTTGATTGGAATTGGAACACGTTCCATTAGTTTTTGCAACTCCAGCTTTTCTTCTTCCCGAACGGTAATATTTCTAAATTCACCTGACAAGGAAAAAACCCTGAAACAAAAAAAAAACAATTTACTACAACTAAAAAAAGTATGAACAATGTAAATGGCACCGTCCCCAGAGAAGATACAGAGGATACAAGCTTATGGGACAACCATGCGCCTATAGCTCTGGTAGGGTGGGGCGGAAGAGTACTAGTATCTCGAGGAAGGAAGAGCCTGAACAGCGATGACCACATAGCATATTTGTACATCAGTTTTAGCACTCAGGGTCTTCCTACAGCGTGAGCACTGTATTACGTCATGGTGAGGGGGGGAAGAAAAGCGGAAGGGGACAAAGAATAGAATTTGCTAAAGACACCAGTGACTGTAGCTAGACACCACTTAGTGTACCATCTACTGTATCCTCTGTTTTTTTTATTTCACTGTGCACTGTACTTTTAAATTAAGTTGTAAGTCTGCTACCTCCAAACAAAAAACTTTAGTTAAGTGAGCAAAAACATCATGTTTAGAAATAGGGATGGTCAAGTCTCGAAATTTCGGGAAATTTTAAATCTCGTTACACGAGACGAGATTTCTTTTTGGCCGAGATTTTTATCGAGACGAGAATAAAAAAAAAAATTAAAAATTAAAAATTAAAAACGCCTGCAGAAAGTCAATGCAATACCCGCAATACAGGAGCGTGTTGTAGTTGCGTTTCCTTTGCGAAGGCGTTCTTATTTAATTAATGCTTTAAATGTAAATATTACTTTAATTATTTTAATAATATTACTTTAATAACATTTGAGAAGTTTTGTTAAGTGTAAGCAGTGTGAGGAATGTTTTATTACTATAAAAAGTCAAAACAAGTAACTATTTTATAAAAATTAATATTGCTTTTATTTTATGATTTATTTTATTTTAGGATAAGTTTAACTCCATCCTAACTGATATCACTATGTTTCCTAATCGTAGGCATTTTTAATAAGTTAGGCGTGATTAATAAAAAAATGTTATGCTGATGTTTTTTAATAAAATATTGTAAATATTCTTGCCTATTATCATTATTTTTTTAGTCATCTAACAATGTTACAAAATCAGGTAACAATGTTACAAAATCAGGTAAAAATTTTGAACGTGCATTTCCCGTTGTGTATGAGAAGGGAAATCCCGTCTCGATCTCGTCTCGAAATTTTATGAGAAATAAAAAATCTCGTCTCGTCTCGTCTCGAACTAAAAATCCAATCTCGTCCATCCCTATTTAGAAACAAAGATTACTGCATGAAATATGGTGTTTCTATTAATATGGATATGATGTATGATCCATTAAATAGACAATTTTAAAGTGAAAATCTAAAAACAAAAACATAATTATGATACAGTAGAGATGTATAAAAGCAAATCAGAAATGTGACAACTATATGGGAGCATTTATTTGTTAGCAATTATTTCTGGAATAGGGAGTCACATCAGTTACTATTGTGCATGATTTGTTAATGATGCACTAACATAATGTCAATAGGTATCACTTTCAGTATAAATGAAGGGTAATAGTTTATAGTTCTTAAGGAAAGTTTGTTTGTACCTGAAGAGCTCAATCTCGCTGAGTGTGGGTTTGAGCAGCTGGTTGTATGTGGACATGGTGTCATGGGTACAATAGTAGTGGCTTGAGATTCTACCCAGCTCCGTCACCTACATCAAAACATTGTATGTACAAAATAAAAAGAAGTCCATTCATTTTACCCTGTCATGGTTACTCATCCTAGTTAAGTAATATTAGGGAATCCACAAAATACACAAAAGACCATAAGCTTCACATGGCAGTAATGAGACACAGGCTCAATGTGGCTTAAGAAAAGGTTGATTTAACACTGGATTATTCTACGGTTTTGAGTATCTTTTATTGTATTTTGATTGAGCAGGTATTCACACCAATTTCAGTCTATAACTGCTATCATACAATAATTCAAAACAATAAATTTGAATATAAATTTGAAAACAATAAACAGAATGTCAAGAATCGCAGAATAGTGCTCACTCTTCAATCTGAAGATGGCCAGTTTGATCTTAAGATGAATTTCAAAGTAATAGTCAATAGTCAAGAAATTAGTCAAAATGTCTTTATTCTTTTTCGTACAAAATGGTATCTAATGATATAATTGGACAATGAGAAGAGATTTGTGAATGGTATATCGGGGTCTGTGGGTCCCCGGTATTTTTAAGTCGGGTCGGACTGAAATTAAAAATAAAGCTAAGCACAGGTTGGGTCAAGCTAAGCGGAGCGTTTATTTTGCGATTGCAGAGAGTGTTTGCAAAGATGAGCAATTGAAAATTGAAGATTTGGTTGCATGTGATGTTTACAATTTTACAACAAACGCAGATGTCATCGATTTTGCCAAGATGTATTCGATCTCTCACTGCCATAGGAAAATATTCATGATTTCACCGTGATGATGGAACATTTTCACAATTCTGCCATGGAGGCAGATGATGTTCTCTATTTTACCGTGACCGCAGAAGATGTTTAACGATATCTCCGCAGCATGGGTAGGATTGTGTACCATATTGTATAATTTGTGGTATTACCACTATTTTTAAAAATCTATACTTTCCTAAGCAACCTAATTGCGACCAGATTATGGCCTGAAACCCCAGGGTCCCAGAGGGGGGGGGGGGGGGTTAAAGACTAGCCTGCCTACCCCTATCAGTAACTCCCACCAAAACAATGTTACGAAATCCTCTGGCATTAACACACTCTAATTTCAAGCCCATTTACCTGGAAGTGGCCAGTCTTGCGGTCATATTTGACCAGCCCAGACCTCTCTAGGTGAAGAGCCGCTGTGTGTATGAGGTCTGCTCTGTGCTGCTCTAGAAGAGGATCCTCCTTCACTTTGTCTACAGAGATGGCATACAACTGTGGCGACCTCAGCATCCTACAACACATTACCACAACAGTCACGACTAGGAAGATAATCAAATTCATCAAAGATTTAATGTAGAGAAAACTATTTTAGAAATAATTTCCTATAAGATAATATTGAATCCACCTGATGTATAAGTATGTGTATCCCAGCCAGGTGACAGCGTCTCTGACACTCTGTATGGTGCCAAGTACAATCTCAGCATTGAGCATGTCTGGAAGCTTGGATATCATCTGGGACTCTATGGGCAGCTGCTGGTTCAACAGGGACAAGTAGTACTGCAGCTCACTGTGGTTGGTGATCAGGATACCTTCACCCTTGGTGTCAAACTGGGGCCTCCCAGCTCTTCCCAACATCTGACATCAAACACAACACAGATAACCAGCAGTTTTAGAGGGGGGTTTTGAGAGAGATTGTTAAATTACAATACAATTTGGGTTTTCTATAACAACTTGAAAATAATGGTTAACAATTCTCCACAGAAAGGAACGAACTTAACCATTCGGTCCTATCAATGTGCATGATTGGTCTGCAAACAAGGAAAGATGAGCAGGATAGATTACATTTATAATTAACTGTGAGTAAGAAAGCTTAAACCAGATCTATGTAAGTATTTGATGTGTATTACTGTACATCTTTTTTACTCACCTGAAGAACATCCAAAGCTCCCAACTCTACCCAGCGACCTTTCTCTGGGTTGTACACCTGTGTTCCCTTGATGATGACTGTGTGAGCTGGAAGGTTCACTCCCCAGGCTAAGGTGGCAGTGGACACCAGCACCTGTGCAAAGTCTGTGTTATGTCCCATATATATAGGTTGCGGAGTTACAATTTACCGATCAGCAGTGTAGTTATAAGCTTGTCTCTGAACGTACTTGAACCATCTCAATTTGTATACCTGAATATGTCTGTCAGCAAACAAATCCTCCACCAGAGTTCTGTCTACACGGGTCATCCCAGCGTGATGGATAGCAAACCCATAAGGCAGCAAGTCCTTGAGCTCGCTGTTCTTGACCTGAGTGGCTTCAGTTCTCAACACCTCCATGGAGGCAGAGCCCTCCCTCAGGAACTGACCCAGGGTGTCCTTCTCCAAACACATGTCTCTGATTGCACGAGCGGTTTTGCCTGCATATTAAACAGCCATTACTGATCAAACACGTCAAAAAGCATACTATAAAACTAAATTTTGTTTCAGTTGGGAATTGAGGCAGAATTTAGAAATTTACATTTAGATCTTGTATTCTTGTATGGTTTCTATTGGAGAAATGGCTTGAGTTTATCAGAAAATCAAAATAGATTATAAAATTTCATATAAAATCAAGTTGTGGTTTTGTTTTGTAATGGTGCCTTCTATTCTCTGCATTCAATCAATCAATCAAATCACTTTATTTGTCCTTGTACATGTCATTACAAGAAATGGCGTCAAATATAAAGCTAAAAAACAATACAATTATAAATTTAAAAAAAAAACTACCACTACTGCTTCATAATTTTGTTGTATTCATAAAATTCCTCTATTGAGTAAATGGGTTTGTTGATCAAATATATTTTCAATTTACATTATAGTTTGTTATTATTTTTTTCTGATCTTAGTTCATTCGGAAGTGCTTTAAAGAATTTATTGCCAATGTATGTCGTCTTTTTAAAAAAAAATTCCAATCTATGTTTTTCAAAATGTTTTTCGGTCTGTCTTCTTGTATTATATTGATGACCTATTGGTTGTACATAAGTTTTTGTTATAAAAAATAAGATACATTCAAAAATATACAGACCATACACAGTTAAAATTTTAAGATTTTTGAAGTGTTCTTTTGCGGAGTCATCATCTTCAAGTTTGAGCATACATCTAATTGCTTTTTTCTGTAGGTTTAGAATTATATTCAGATTATTTATTGTTGTTGCACCATACAAGCCAATTCCATAAGAAATATTAGAGTGAATCAGAGCAAAATATATTTGTTTTAGTACAGGCAATGAGCTTAGGCTGGCCATACGCCTTAAGGCGAATAAACCGGAGTTAATTTTTCTCGATATATGTTCGACATGTTTGTCCCAGCATAGGTTTTCATCAATATATAGACCTAAAAATTTAGCCTCATTCACTTGTTCAATAATTTCCTCTTCAATCATTATATTTGGAGATATTTTTTTACGATTTTGCTTTGTGGAAAATGTAATAAATTTAGTTTTATTTGGATTTAACAAAAGACTATTATTATTGAAGTATTGCTTTATATTAGCTAGTTCTATAAAACTTAAATATTCAATTTCATTTTGGTTCTTTTAAATTTGTGTCGTCTGCATATAAACATAAATTACTATGGGGAACAGTCTGTAGCACTTCAGGAAGTCCGGTTATGTAACATAAGAACAGCAAAGGACACAGAATCGATCCCTGTGGGACGCCACATGAGACCAAACATAAGTCCGATGCTGCGCCCGTGATCCTATTTGAAATAGTTTGGTTAATTTCAACATACTGATATCGGTCGGAAAGGTATGACTTAAACCAATTGTATGCAACTCCCTTGACACCAAAGTTCAATAATTTATCAAGTAATAGATGATGATTTACGCTTTCAAAAGCTTTTGTTAAATCCATAAATATGCCCACTACGTTCTCCTCTTTATCTATGGACTCTATGATGGATTCAATAAAAGAAACGGCTGCAGTGAAAACCGATTTTCCGGGCCGAAAACCGTGCTGGGACATATCTAGAATGTTTGAATTTTCTAAGAATTGGGATAATCTTCTGTACATGACTTTTTCATAAATTTTTGAAAAGGATGGCAGAATCGAAATTGGACATGTCTTTTGTAGAATCTTTTTTATGTATAGGTACAACTTTGGATATTTTTAATTTTTTTGGAAAAATGCCAGATATTAAAGAAGAGTTAACCAGATGAACTAAGATTTTACATAAGTGTATTTTTGCAGATTTTATTATAGTTACAGGAATTTCATCAAACCCATATGATTGCTTATTTTTTAAAGAATCTAATATTTTAATAATTTCGTTTTCATCTGTGGGCTCACAGCAAAAAGTCTGATTATGAGGAGAGAGACTACTTGAAAGACTATTTTTCTGTACACTAGGTTCTATATCTGATTTTGTTTGAAGATCTTTTATACAGTTTATAAAATAAATGTTTAACAAATTACTTATAACTAAAACATCAGATACATTCTTATTATCTACAGTCAATTCTAGATTTTGTTTGTTTTTGGGCAGAACTCCAACCTCAGTATTTACTATTTTCCAAGTTGTTTTAATGACATTTTCTGATCCATTTATCTGCTTATTATAAAAATTGGTTTTGAATCTTTTAACATTTTCCTATATAACTTATTTTTCTCTTTAACATATTTCTTCAATTCTTTGTTTTTTGTTACTCTAGCTTCTTTCTCTAAGTCAATAATATTGTTTCTTTGCTGTTTTATTTCTTCTGTGACCCAGGATTTTTGCTTATAATTTATCCTTTTAACTTTTTTAGGAAAAGCTAAGTTAAAATGATACATAAAAATATTGAGAAACTTATCATATTTGTCCTCCACACATGAAAAATAAACTTCATTCCAGTTTTCACTTTTAAGTGATTCAAGAAATAGGTTTACATTATCTTTTGAAAAGCATCTCTTATATTTTGTTTTATTTCCACCTTCCCAATGAGGTATATCAAATAAAAAATCTAAAATTTGACCATCGTGGTCAGAGAGATAAGTGATCATACCTTCTACTTTAGTTTGTGCTTTTGAAATAGATGTAAGGAAATTATCAATACATGTTTGACTTTTTTCACTTATTCTTGTGGGAAATGTAACTAAGTGAGACATACCATGACTACTCAACATATTGAATAGTGCTTTACAATCTTTTTCGTTATTAATAACATTTATATTTAGATCCCCAGCAATTATGAGATTACTACAAATAGAAAGTAGATTCATTATTAACTCGTTCAAAAGCTCTATAAATTCAAAAGGATTTGTGCTCGGGGAGCGATATATGCCTACTAGTACAAACATATTTTTATTAACTATGAATTTCACAGCACAAAACTCAAATTTTTTATCTTCTCCTAGATTATGAATTTTAATTTCTACCACCTGCTTCCACTTAATAGATTTACTAGACAAAATAACGACACCTCCTTTTGTGGTGGTCTCTCTACAATAATAAGAATTGACACTAAATTTTTTTATATTAAGTCTGGACATTTCATCATTTTTTAAATTATGTTCAGTTAATACTACGATATGGGGTTTTATTTCATCTAAAACTATTTCCAGCGAGTCAATCCGTGAAATTAAATTTTCAATATTCTGATGAAATATTCTTATATTTGAAATATTTTTACTTTAATTTTTTGAAGTTGATGGGAATTGACCTTAATAATGTACATACATTAATACATACATACATTAATAATGTAATTTGAAAGCAATTAAATTCCCAACTTTTAATTGCAACTTATTTTTACTATAAGTTATGCTGAATAAAACAAATCATGAACAAAGAAAATATAATTGATGAAGACATGCAAGCTTTTTATGAAACAAATTGAATACATCTCAGTTATATTGCTTGATTAATGTTTTGTTACATTCTTATGTTTGAGGGCCAATTTTATTTACCAATAGACTCTTCGACTCAAAGTAGCCTACCATATGTATGGTACATTTTGCAATAGACACAACATTATCTTTTGATATACCTACCAACTGCTGAAAGTGTTTTTCTTACCTGTTTCTTTTCGTGAATGGACAAAGACAAGGACTTGGTTCTTGCCAGCATGCTCCATGATCTTCTCGTACACTATTTCGTTCATTACTTGGAAGCGTTTGAGAGCTTTTTTCTCAGTCACTCCAATGTATTGCTGCTCAAGTGGCACAGGACGGAAACTGTTGTCAAAGTAAAACAAACCCTGAAACATTCAACAAATTAGTAACTCTTTTTTCAATAGTCTACTTGATATTAGTAAGAACCATTCACTCAGAAAGTTTTTTTTTATAAACATAAAATTTAATTGTATGCAAATCGAACTAACTTTTACTTCTATACAAATAAGTACCATAAAATAAAAGTCATAAAATTACAGTAGAATCGTGAAGTTTTTTGTTATTTTTAGGTTTTATAGCCTAAGAAAGCCAAAACGAGTCTTATCTCAATGTGTGTCTGTTTGTTTGTCTGTCTGTCTGTCATTGTGTCTGTAACGCCAAAATGCCAATTTATGCGGCCTACTCCGAGAAAACTAGAGTACCCATCAAGATTCAAGTCATTTTCTTGGATTCACTGGATTGGTGAGAGTGTCTTTAGCTATTAAAATACGGCCTCACTACTATGGAAATAAAATAAGGAACCTTCAAAAACCCTATTATGTGCTTTTTTGTCAAGTTTTCTCCCAATGTTTACTACACACGTCATTATGAAATACCAATCATCTGTTTAGAGAATATGTCATTGGATAAAGATTATTTTTCCTAGCTGTCACTGTTTACATTAAATGTTGTTCACAAATACTGCAACCATTTCCGATCTCATTTTGTGAGCAAATCCAAAACCCAGGGCCTTGTGACTTGAACAACGTAATTTTATTGATTGTACGATAGTTCGTAACTGTAAATGAAATTAAATGACCATGTATTATCCAGGCCAGGAAACCTAAAATTATGCTTGTTTCAAATTTCACTGTACTTAAGTCTTGATAACCGGGAAAAGACTGTGAAACAGTTTTGTATAGGAGATAAAAACACCTATGGTATTATGAAAAAATACCATTTCATAAGGACAACTTACTTTGTGAAAGCTCTTAGAAAAAATTGCAATAGTGTTTGAAATAAAACACCTATTGTCTAATAAAAAAAAATCATTTGATTGAAAGACTACTATTTTGTCAAAGCTCTTTTTCTTGAAAAAAAATTCTGGAACAAACGCACCATTTGGTCTTTCTACTAAATGTTCCCTGTCCTCCCTTTCAACAGTAGCCAACAATCTTGCAATTCGTTCTTCTTCATCCATTTTATAATATCGATAAATAAGGTCAAAACAAGGGCGCACAAGGAACTAGGCTCCGAAAAAACCGTTACATCACAGGGCGCACACGGAAGCTACTTCCAGTAGTGACACTAACCACTCCCCAAGGTCGACTGACGACTGGGAATGGGGTAAGAGTAGTCAAAACTGATTCTGTAAAAGAGGTGTGCAAGGTAAATCAGGCGACAGCCCTGCCAAACACATACTATGGTTTTATAACGAAAAAAGTAGTGACCCGGAAGTAACTTCCCTGATGCGCCCGATGGAAAGTTAAGAGTATTCCCATAATAGTTTTGCCTGTATTTCTTGAAAAATACAAACTTAGTAGCAATCCAAATGCTGATCTGAATATAATAAGGTGTCAACTGACCAAAAGATCACCGTGAGTAGAACGGGCACACAGCTAGTATACTACAGTATAAATAAATGTAACGGGACTAAACTGCTCAATTGATATCAAAACGACAAAATATTTTAGGAATTTTTAGAACCAACAATATTTAAGTGTTAATATTTAGCTACTCTGAGTCGTTAGTTTTTTTATTGAGACAAAAAAATGGCACAAGCAGATATTTTCCCCCCAAAAAGGTGAAGTAAAATGAAAATATTGAGTAAAAATGTATTTCAATAAAGCTTCTACATTCAATACATAGATTAGTGCAAATATCCCTTGACATAACTCCATAGCTGAAATGTAAGCAAGTATAGCAATTCAAAGATAACTAAGACATTGAAACCGTTGAAAAGTGCAACAATGCCAATGGCATACGCTAAGAACTGAGTCAGGTTGTTTGTACTGACTCGGATCTTGGAGTCGTAGAATTTATTTCTTTTAAAGTAGAATTTAAAAGATGATACAATATTTGGTTTTGAGGACGAAGCAGTTTCCTCAAAATCATAAGACAAATAGTTGCAATCTGGCAAACAACCACAGTCACACGTTGTAGCAAGGCAAAAATGGCCGCAAACATCTACAGAACTGTTGTGTCTAGGCAAGTAAAACGGGACACAGCCACATGCCGAGAGTGAACAGTTCACTTTACATTCTGTCTCACAGTTCACTTGACTGTAATGTTTAAACATTGACAGAGGGTTCTCATGTGTAAAATAACACCCTCTAGCAGATGGATCATACTGCTCAAGGCCGCTTTCTGAAGTAACAATGTTGGGAATTATTGATATACTTCTGGAAGTAATTTTGCCCACTATTATACGATTTCTAATGGGGAAGGGGATTTCTAGTGGGTTGTGGATTACAACGTAGCTTTGTATTTTGTCATTAGGTAGGCAGGACTCTGCAATTTTATTGGTTGTTATGTAATTCCTTTCGCTTTTAAATATAATCCAATCATTCTCAGTCGTATACACCGGCGTCGTATTAATGTTTCCTCCGAAATATAACATATTGTCCAAAGTCAAGTGTTTTCCTAGGTAATGAAAACCAGGGGAAGAATACTGTTTCATTGGGAAATAAGTAACAACATTTTCTTTGTAAATATCTTTGTGATGGAGACCATTGATAGTAAAACACAAACCTAAGGGCGATAAGAACTTTTGGCATTCGTTTCCATCGCATCTTTTAATCAGCTTCCTTTTAAAACCACCTTTCCGTTTATGGAATATGTGAACGTCATTAAGATCAAGAATATGCCCAAGGTAGGATGAAAATTGGTCATATCTCATAGTATCTAATAATATCACTCTTTTATTTGCCCTAAACTTTTGACAAAACAATAACAAAACAGCAAGAGTCACCATCTCATCGGAGCTACATTCTTCATTGATTTTACAAACATTGTTGTCACACAGGAAACATTTCCCCAGAATCCCTGAGTAGTTGTAGTAGACGTTAAGAGTTGGTGGGTAGCAAACAGTTATTGCAGGAAATGGAACTTCGTTGACATAAGTTACATTGGTCGAAAATACTTTATAAGCGGGCGAGTTTTGCCAACTGTCGTACTCCATCTTGATAAGAGAAAAACTTGTTAATAAAGCAAGGGTGTGAACAAACAACCACAAGCAAGTATGAAACCAAGACTGGTTCTTCCCTACGAGAAACTTCATGCCTGGTAGACTCAATGACTGAATCAACTCTTGAAAGTTGGTTAGCGGGAAACAGTTTGTATCATAAAGTGAACGATTACACTCGTGTGTAGAAACCTTACTAGTTTGTTTAACAATTTCAGATTCAACTTGCCTTGTAGATTTAGGTTCAGCAGGGTTGTGCGACTGCAGGGTTTTCAAGCTCGACAATACAGTTTTCATGGAATCTTCTAGTTGAGTCACACTTCTCATGATCTCTTTGTTAAATTTTGTTTGATCTTGGAGTACTTCAGATTCTGGTGCAACATCCATCTGTTTGGAATAGTTACCATCAGGCTGTGAATGATCATGCTCATCAATATGAACCGTTGTAGTTTTGTCAATTATTTCTGATTCAACTTGGCTTGTAGGTTCAAATCCTGCAGGGTTGTGAGAGAGCAGGGGTTCCAATCTTGACAAAACCTTTTTCATATCATCTTCTTGTTGAATCATCCTTCTCATTAGCTCTTCAATGGAATCTTTATGATGTTGATTTACTTCAGATTGTGTTGGGATGTCCATCTTAAGAAAGTAGAGATGTTTGAATACAAAATAGCCTTATTGGATCTCAAATGAACTAAACATCATTCTAAGCAGAAAACCTGTTACATTTTGCAAATAGGGATGCACAATATGACCTTCTATTTCATAATTAAGGTGACCACGCCTTTTTTAATTGTCAGTGGTATGACGTGTATGTTAAAACTAATTCCATTACAACACAAATTGCATTGCATGTCTTCCACATGTCTAATGAAGAACTAAGTTAATAGTGACTTTAATAAATCATATTAAATATTTGATTACTTTGATATTAGTACCGTGGGACTATCGTTAAAACAATATCGTAAAGAGACATTTTATAATTTATAAGTGAATTTTTCTTCCCTCAAGTCATAGAAAAAAGTTGTTTAACTTTTACACTCACCAATGACAGCAGATAAAAATATGATACAAACAAAATCATATAAGTTTTAATGGTTTTTGACAACGATTTTTTGCTTTTTCGCTACTACTTAAAGAAATTGAGATCCTGTCTGTTTTCTTTTTCCATTGGGATTTAGCATACGGTAATAGATTTACTTATGCCAAATAAAAACCCCAGATGTGATTATACTTGGAATATTGTTATAAGGAGTGTGATTTATTTCTTGGTACTAAACTAAATCTTTCTTTTAAGTAAAAGTAAAACTTTAGCATGTAATACTCTCGTATTAGAATTAAGTTTGTTAACACTAAACCAGTCAATCTATTTTAAAGTTGAATAATAACACAATTGGGGGATTTAATATTGAATCTATTAAACACAAGCTTTAGCCAGCTTACCTTTATCACTTACAAATACTGCAGGTAAATTACTGCTATTAAATCACCGGCAGTTGAAAATGTTTTTATTTGTTAAAATTTCTTAGTTATGGTTTTGTTTTCAAGGATTTTGAGATAGCCTATACAAGATTATTGGGTTGATAAAATATTTTGGTGATTGGTTTTGAAACTAAAAACCACTCAGTTTTTTGAATTAAGAGTTTCTTCTCTTAGGTGTAATTTAATTATTTTATAGTACACACCTTTTTCTTTTACTTTCATCGTTATAATACACAGATAAGAGATTCTAATTAATAGATGAAGGGACTTATTAGTCGACCAATTACTGTGTTTTTGAGTATTTTCATATTTTTTCAATCATCATATTTAAGCCATTAAATAAACCTGCTAATATTCCTTTCTGCAACGAAATTCTTAGAACATTATATAGATCAAATTTTGGAGGTTAACTCTTCTATTAGGCCTACTCAGTAGGGACTGTGTATGTGTATATGTTGTGGTAACTCACAGAGTCAGGTTTGATGCGCAGCAGTGTGGCGACGTCCTGATAGTTGGGCAGAGTGGCACTGAGGCCGACCAACCGTACGTCCTCCTGTGTTGTCTCAATGTTCCTGATAGTTCTGGCTACAAGAGCCTCCAACACAGGTCCTCTCTCATCATGCAGCAGATGGATTTCATCCTGATAAACATTCAATATATGACACAACTGCTCAAACTCTACAAAGAGATTATCATGTATTAGTTTGACATGTTCCCTAGCATTTCATTCCTCTGTTAATATGACTTTGTGTAACTTGGAGGTGAAGGTGAAACCAATTCCGCTGTAGGCATATCACTTCACTGAATATCTCTATGGTTTTGTGTAATTTGATAGTTTTAGAATTGTTTGTGAATTATGTTTTAGAATTGGATTAATCAAATTTCCAGCTTTAAAAGGCAATTATGATCTATGATACATTTATTCGTTGATTAGGTATGTTTTAAAAAGCTAAAAACTAAATTATAATAGTGGAATTCAACTATTAGTGGTTAGTGAAATATATTATTAAATTTATTAGTTCAACAAGGCCAATATATAATTATTTCATTTTATTCACTAGCGCTTTCAGAAACTATGTTTCCATCTTCAGGCACTAGTACACTGAAGATGGAAACATAGTTTCTGAAAGCACTAGTGAATAAAATAAAATGATTATAGGCCTTGTTGAACTTATAAATTTAATTATATATTTCTAATTGCCAATATCTCCAATATAAGTTATTAGTGGTTAGTTAACAGTCAGACGTAACTTACAATGATGACGAGTCGCACCAGCTGAGTGAATGTCTTCTCACCACCCTTGCGAGTAATGATGTCCCACTTCTCCGGAGTGCATACAATCACCTGTGTAGCCTGTATCTGCTCTCTAGTCAGCTGATGGTCACCTGTCAGTTCTGACACTGTCAGGTTGTACGATGCTAGTCTCTGCAACATTTACCACAGAGTAATAAATATAACTGTTTACTTATTTAGTTCATTGTTGGTGATGTTGAGTTTTGAAATAGGCTACTATTCTTAACATCCCCTATGAAACCAGTATGATAACATATTTGAGGGTTGATCCCAAAATGTCATGAGCTCTTAATCACACAGCGTTAATCACACTTAGGTGGTAGAAAATTATAACAATAACTGTAAAAATAACTAAATATTAATAAACACAATATTAGGAACACAATATCCATAACCCTACTTAATCTTTCAAGATATTAAATGTAGCGTCTAGACAAGTAGTATTAAATTATTTTGAATCAATGCAAACATTGTAATATTATTTTATTTTTCAGCATGATTGTTAAATATATTTTATTAGGAGGGCATACAATGGGATCCAGTGTATTAAACTTTTGGATTACCTTTACTAACATGATACACACCTTGCCAAAGTTGCCGACCATTTCTTGCACAAGAGATCGCATGGGTGCAACGTAGATAATCTTGAACTCGTCTGCGTTTATGGTTCCGTCAGAGTTGACATGTTTGCCGATTTCCCTCATCATGCACAGCAGGGCAACATTGGTTTTACCAGCACCCTAGCAATAGTGTTATACTTAGATCAACCAATCAAACACTTAGGCTACAGTTTGGTATCAGCTTCTGAGACTTTCATATCCAAGATACATTTGGTAACATAAAATTTTGAATGCTAAAACTTGACTGACACCAGATAGCGAAATGAATATCGAAAAAATTAAAACATTGACTATTCTGTCAGTTATTTTTACTAATTTTGTGACCTTTGATACAGTGATTCATTGAGGAAATCGATGATTCATTGCTGTTTCATTGCATTTTCCACCGTTCATTACTATTTCTTAATTAGCCTTGTAAACATTTGGACAAAAAGATCACAGATGTAATTCAAAAATCATTAATAGACAACTAAAAAAAACCACCAAACAGGTTGTTTTTAGAAAATAAGTAGAATTTAAGTATAACATACCGTTGGAGCACAAAGCAAAAGATTTTCATCTGATTCAAGGGCAGTTTTGTGGAGCCTGCTTTGAATCCTGTTCAAAGTTTTAAAGCCTTCAAATGCTGGCTGGACGTACTTTGGCAGCTTATCAATGGGAATTAGAGTCTCCTCAGGCCCAAATGGTTTTGGTTTTAGAGCTGGAACATGCACCTCTTCATACCCTGAAAATAAGTGTATTAATAATAAAATGTGATTTTCATTCTATGTCAAGTGCTTATTTGTTGGCCATCTGCACAGCATACAACATATGGTAAGATGTATAAAAGGTAAGCGTCACAGTAAAACATTTAGACAAAAATGTTTTGACATTCTTAGGTTACTTCATTCATTTTTAATACCGTACTATTATGATTACAATCAATGCCAAAAGATAAAGTATATTTCAAATTTGAGACCCGTACCTTTCCGTTGCTTCCTAAATGATCCATCTGGTAGTTGACATCGCTTATTGCTCATGAAGTGTGAGCCAGCAGAGAAGGCTAGATCCTCCAGGTCAAGCAGTTGCCGAGAGCCAGGCACGACTCCGCCGTCGCCCAGTGTTGCTACGTCGCCCTCAGCTGCAGCCTTGCGCCGCGCTGCACGAGCCATCGCACTGTCTCCTCCGTCCGCTCTCTCCCCCTCCTCTACAGACTCTAGCTGCCGCAAGATACGAGACAGACCAGAATCACTGGTCATCTCATCTCTCAGCCTCTGCCGTTCCACTTCGCTCTGACTGCTTGCCAGCAGTGTGCAGTACAGGACTGTAACATTACACATGTTTATTTGGGGTAGATTTAAATAGTAATATGTATTATAAGTATCCTATTTAGAGCTGGTCAGTAAATGTATATTAAATGTTTACAATTTATAGTCCTTTTCAGAATATTTACTTCATGTTGAATGTATCTCACTTTATCCAGTAGCCTACACAACCATTAAACCAAACTAACTAAAAAAAGTTAAAAACAGGGTGTCCAGGGTCCCATCAAAATAAAATTTAAGGACAATTCCAGGTTTGCATGTTTGAAAAACTTGTCGTTCAAAAAAAGGAAAACTTTCTTGTTTATAGCCTACCTGCTAGTCTATTAAAACCCCTTCCGCGTATTACAGGATAGGCTAATATCTTGTAACCCAAACTACATCGGGGATCATATCTTTCAATCGCGGCAATTTTTTTATGATTTCTCGAGACCTTGGCCGGCAGGGTGTCTACTACATTCTGTAACGTTGTAAGCCTCTCACACGATTGCAGCAAAATCCGTGAATGTTTCTTGCGATCGCAACAACATCCGCGATGATCTTCAGTGATTATCTTACCACTCGTGACTTTTTTTGCCATCACAGCAACGTTTGTTAACTCGTGATAGTTTCCCAGGATTGTGATTTTCAAATAGGCCTACGCAAAAATAGAAAAATCTGTGTGGTTTTGGGCAGTATAATCGGCTATTTTTTTTTTACATTTTAATTTATCAGTTCTGTACAAAACTCAATTACCGTACTTAATAATTAACATAGGCTACTTATTCCCAGTCATCAAAATTCACGTACAATTTGTGATTTTCCCATTTTCTAGGTTGGCTGGACACCCTGTAAAGGATGTTTAAACTAGAATTTATTTTATCTTCTAACAATACTGATCTACATTGCACTAGTTTGAATTTTTAAACTTACTCATCTGACGGTGTTTCTTCAGCACCTTGATGAACTCAAAGCAGTCGTAGCCGAGCAGGAGGACCAGTTGGTTCTCACAATCTCGGTCGTCACCAGCGTTACGCAAGATACTCAGAACCTCTGCAGCCTTTGCCTGGGACACCATTGCGTCGTCGTAGAACTTGCTCAACTTGCGCTGCAGCCAGTAAGCGTCTATATCCAGCGGATGCAGCGACTTCTCTTTCTTGCCTGTCTCCTCTCCTCCTCCCAACTGTAACATTTATACATGCACAAAATTTGAATGATTTGTGATTTGTGGAATGGCTAATAATTTATCAGCTTTATTGTTAAATTGTATGTTTGCTATTAGGCCTACCTATATATTTTAATATTATTAATGATGTTGCAACCGATTTATGAAAATTTCAAATTTCTCAGAGGGTAGTTGGGATTCAATGTGCTGCAGCTGTTTCTAGCCTATCAGGCAAAGAATGTGTTCTAGCAGCAAGATGAGCTGCAAAAACTTAATTACAGTTTTAATTGGAATTTGATCACCTTTTTACCTAAACACCAGAAAAAATAGCCAAGAATAATTTGAGGTTGGCCATCTATTTAGGAATCAATTGAACTCCTACAATTAATTAAGTAAGTCCAGTAAATGCTAAGTAACTTAAATACTTATATAGCCTAGCTATCGCACCTATACTAATTCATTCGGTTATTTCTAAATGTTTCCCTTTTTGAAAATAATTTGTTGTTTGTCTCTAAGTTGATACAAGAATTGGTTTACAATATCTTTTTTTAGTTTGTATTTTTTAAGTTTATTTATTTGTGTTTTTATGAAACATATTTTTATTACAGGATATGTCCATAAATAATAAAAGAAAACCCAAAGAAGATAAAAGTCATTCTGGGCTATTGTGAAAATAAGCAAAACAGGTGTTATGAGCAATCCCTTTCATATAACTAATGTGGTAAACTTATACTGAAGTCTGACACTGTATACTTTAGAACCCCAATCGTCATAGTTTTTTGCGATCGTGGCAAAATGTTAAATATATTCCACGGTCGTGTTGACACCATCATCGTCTCCCGCGGTCACAGAAAATCGTCCGCAGTCGCGACAAAAGCATTAATTCTCCGATCGTGAAATAGTTTCAGGACACGTTCTGTGATCAGAATGGTAATAAAAGGTCGACATGACTCAGCCTATTTTCTTTAAAAGATTCAGAATTTCGGTAAAAATCCCATCATCCGAATTTTCAATTATCTAAATGGAGTGCGGTGCCCTTTGATTGGGATGATTGGAGTTTTACTGTATATAAGGTGAGCCCTCCCACCAGCTACGCCACAACTTGTCACCATCGGCCGCCCGGGACAAGTGGACTCACTAGCGCTCGCAGGTGAGATTCAACAGACTACTTAAGCCCCTGTATCTAAGCACTATGGCCTACTGCACAGCGAAATGCCGTGACGATCTAAAAACACTTGTAAAAAGGACCAATTTCATCATTCATATGATAATAAACAATTAATTGTCTTGGATTAGCTGTAACTTACATTCTCAGCATGGATAGCAGTGTTCAGTTTTGCTTCTTCTCCTTCTTCCTCCATTTCTTCTCCTTCTCTGACTTCTCCATACATATCTTCATCATCTTCCTCTTCTGACTCTTCAAACTGAACATTGATTCCATACGTCTCATCAATATTCTCATCTAAAAAAAAATATCAAGTAATTAGAACAAGTTATAAATGTGTCATCTCAGCTGAAGACAACTATCTTCAACTCATACCTTCCTTGTCGAAAATTCTGTCAGTGACAGTGAAATATTCTAATGTTTTGTGTTATAGTGCAACTTTTTGTATTTCTTGTACAAGATTGGACTCTCTTCTATCCAGGTATGCCTGTTATCCTCAAAAAGAAAAATTCTAAACAACTTATTACTTGATCAAAAATAGGCTGCTGCTATTTTTTACACAGTTAGGAATATTGAATTAAAGTTAATGTTACTAGTAATTAATGTGTGAACTTAAGATATTATGATTTCTTGTTAGCTGTGGGTTGCCATTACTTACCTGTAGTTTGAACTTTTTCCTCTGTTCCAAAATCAGTTATTTTCTTTCCAAGGTTAACCAACAAGGCAAAGCGCTCCTCTGTCAGACCTCCCAGCAAAGATTCTGTTTCAATTTTCTTTTCTCTGTCTTTCAGTTTGTCGTTTTTCAATACTGTAAGAACTTCATCTGCTGCCCCACAAAGAATGTCTCTTGGCTGGAATTTAAGAATGTAAAATATATAAATTTGTAATTAAAAAGCATTTAATTTTCAATAATATAGGTTAGGTACCTAAACAAAATCAACCAATTTAATAATAATGCTCAGTAAGCATACTTTTTATTGTAATCAACCCGACTATTATTTGCTTCAACTTCAAAAAGTAGTTTTTTATTTTCTAAGTTTGTAAAAGTTGACTTTTAAGTGTATTATCATACCTGGTCCCCCAGAGCCTCTTGTATGAAGCTCAACAATACTTCATAGGTCTGCCTGGTTTCTTGAGTCTTAGGTCGATAAATGATGCCTACCATCTCATCTACACCTTCTGACAGCAGAGTTGCCCCCTTCATACGTGTGAAGTCATATTGAGCTTCATCTCTCTTTTGACGTCTAAAAAATGCAATCAAAATTATTTGTCAACTGTAGAAAAAAAAAGATTAAAAAAATAATAGGCTATAAAACAAAGTATAATGTAGTGATTCTATAATTAGGGAAGTTACTGTTTACTAATTACTTAGGTAGACCTTTAGGCAATATTAGGCCTATAGCATTTACAAAATAACACTCACACACTCACTTCCCTGGCCATTTATGCCTAAGGTGGCATTTGGTTGCACAGCAATAAAAAACAATAACAGACAAATTTAACAGTAACAAAACGAAACAACTGCAAATAATAAATAGGCTAAAACTAAAACCCATGAATATCCGCAATTTTTTTTCATACGGAGGCCAATTATTTTAGAAGGACTTTTTTTACCAGAGACCAAAAAAAAACTACATAATTGGAAAGAACATTAGCAGCTTTTGAGTTCTGCCTCCAAGAAGGCAGCAATGTCGACGAGGATTGAGTTGAATGTGTCACCGACCCTAGCTGCCCCATGAACTCCGCCAAGTATATATAGAGCGTGTTACGGCGGTTACGTTAGGTTGGGTTAAGCCTACCTATCAAAAATATGTTTGTAGGACTTTCCTCAATTTTTTATTAATCAAACGATACCAGATGATTCATCACTCGGGACATTGTCCCAGATACAGGCGGTGACAGATAATGCACACGCTCCAGTCAATGACCTGACCTTGGCCTACGTGGAGGGTATTTGGCGGGCAAAAGTATTCGACCGACTGATAACGTTTGATTCATAACAAAACAAAACGCAGAAAGTCCTACAAACATATTTATGATGATAACCCAACCTAAACCGCCGCAGCGCGCTGTAAAATAAGTGGCCTCCGTATAATACAAAAGTAACGTTAATATTATCAGTTGATTTAATTAGATGATGGTAACAATTCTGAACACTATGTACATAGATAGCAATTGGTGAAATTAAAATCACCTATTTTCAGCTACAACTTAGTGGATTGAAGTAGGCCTAAGTTAAGACTCTTATGAGTTATTTAAGGAAATTGTATCAAACAGTAAGTTACACTAGGGTGGTCTGCCGTTACACTTTAGACGCATAAATGAGCGAAGCATTATTTAAAGATTGTCAATGGCTAAAGCAGCTAACACCCTACAATATGTTCCCATTCAACAGATTCACCGTTTGTTTGCCCGATATTATTTAAGTCCTAAAGGATGACAAATTTTTTCTGATAGTTCATACTGTACCTTTGTAGTGAAACTGGCCATCCTGACTATTTGCTTGTACTTTGTAAATGGGCATAGCAGGATGTACTCGTGCAATCAACATTTGTTCTACAATCGTCAGGTCAGTTAATTCGTTCGGGACACTTGACACATCCATATTATTTAACGCCGTGAATTTAGTTGCATTTGAACGACAACGCGAACAAATCGGTGATTGGTTTGAAGCTGTTAGTTGTTGGCGATGACAGTTAGTGCAAGTATAAAATTGTAGTGCATCTAATTCATGTTGGAATTGATTAGCTAACTGCCTATCATTATCAGCTTCTTCCGCCACTGCTTCATCTGGTTCTTCTTGTTCACGACGCCACTCCCTTACAATATTTGCATTATTGGTGCGACGACCAATATTACGACGTGGTCTTTGACCCTTGCTCAAAACAAATATAGCAAAACTGTTACTTCCATTGATAAACTAACTTTAACCTAGGATGAAAGTAAACATTGAAATGTAAACAAAACAGTTACAAACAATTAACATATGTTTATCTTATTTAAATAAAACGAGATAAACCCATATGTCATAAACCCAATATAATTTTTCTTTCAACTTACATTAAAATAACAAGCGAAATTGCGTGACCCGTAAAATAAAATCCAGAAGGAAATTTGAAAATATTTTTTACCAAAACATTGTGCTCAGTATTCTTTAGCTGTTGGCAAAATTTCATATCAATTGGTCAAGCCATTACATTCTGATGCTCTTACAAAGAAGTTACAAAGTGAGGGAAAGTGAGCTACGCTCAACTATGATCAATGTTTATACGTACATGTTTATTGAAAGCCATTTTAGAAAAAAAGAAACTGCAAAAATGAGTGTTAATAAGTAAACTCACTTGACTTTTCTTTCCTCAGCTTTAACAGGTTTTGTTCTTTGAAACCTATCTCCCATTCGGGTCCCTTCAAGCTTCCCAACAAGAGAGACGACCTCTCCAGTTGCTTCATCTCGACTTCTCCTTTCAATAAGACGAACATCGGCTTGAAGTACGAGGTTTGAATTCTAGAAAATTATGACGATTTAATAAAATTAAAGTAAAATAACTCCAAGAGAAGGAAGAAAGCTAGTCTAGAGGTAGAGCACAGAGCCTCTGGCTCACATGACTTTTGGCTAAACTTATGTGATAATTCTGTCTCAGCCTACAATAAGCCTTGCATCCTAGGATAAAAAATGAGGAAGGATATGTTAATAAATTAATTTGGGGTAGCAAACTAATTTATCTATAATGTAGGCCTAAGTTCAAACTTATAAGTTAACTTATGCAAAATTGTCCACCAACAGCCATGTAAGGCTAAGGCATAGGGTCTATGAAGTACCGGAAATATTTCCATTGTGCTAACTTAGATTGTGTAGACTTTCATAAGTGGGGCCAAAAACAACCGAATGAAAATATCGTATTGATTATTCGATAGCCTATATCAATTATTTAATTCGGTTAGTTAAGCTGGATTAGGTTATTCTAACTAACCAAACTTGATACATCAAATGAAACAATCGGTAATTCGATCAATATATTCATTCGGTTGTTTTTGGCCCCACTTATGGAAGTTTACCCTTTCGATAATTAGAAACTTATTATTGTTCCAAAAGAATAATAAATAACTCAACACCTTACCTTATGCCTAACTTATTTAACTTACTTAAGTTATATGAATCTGGGTTAACCAGGCTATCACCCAAGTTAGCAGATTTTATGCTAGCCTAGTCCTAATCTGAAATTTCAAGGATGAAAGTAAATTTGTGTTAGGCCTATTCCATGCCTAGCCTAAGTACATACTATCAATTTGATTTAGGCTATCAATTAACACCAGGGAATTTATGTTGATTAAAGTTATGCATAGAACACTCGGCTTACTTAAAGGGTTGTGGTTTGTTATTAACTTAATAGGCCTAAGTTGGCTCATTCAGTTGCTAGCCTATATGAGGGACACAAAAATGTTAAATCCCCTTCATTAGGCTAGTAGATCGTAGCACAGAAAACATACTTTTACTATAACCCAGAACGCCAACCGCATAGTAAAAAGTGTTCCAAGTACTTTGAGAGAGCTTTACCTGTCACTTCGTAGGCAGTGCCACCAGCGGTGCTATGCACTCAGCATAGCAACGCTGGTGGCGCTGCCTACGAACTGACAGACAAAGCTCTCTCAAAGTACTTAGGCCTAACGCTTTTTACTAGGTGCGGTTGGCATTCTGGGTTAACCCTCCGAGTGTCATGCGTCGCTGCAGCGACGCGTAACGCACTTTGTATAGTGTCGTGCGTCGCTACAGCGACTCGCGAACACTGTTTACGGCGAAGGCTCTATGACTAACTGAATCGGACTGTACTGGATTGAGTTAGGTATCGTTCTTTCCGTAATATTCTAAGCTTTCTCCAGAGGTCTGTCTCTAAGCACTATTCATTTTAGTTCCGAAAATATTGTAGCAGATAGCTGACTGAGCTGACGTGCGTGTATTTGTAAACAGCTAGGTTACCCTCGGACCGATGACTGATGTGTTTTATTACATTTATCATTGTTTTAGTGTTAAAAATCAAAAGTAGTGATATACGTGGTGCATTATAAGAAGATTTAAGTGGTTTTGAAGTGCTGGTTGATGATCCTGAAGAAGTAGGTAGTGATATTGATGTAAATTATCAGCCAGATTCCTAGCTATGGTTGGGCTATGCATTCTTAGCTAAACGCTATGTACTGAAATCTGATTTTTGCCCATAACTTATTTATTTGCAAATCTACTTCCTTATATTATTATATATTTGTAATCCTCATAAAATTTAGAACAAAGTGGCTATTTTCAAATATTTATAGGCCTATAATTTATACAATTTCATTGAGCGCAAACTTATTTTTTTTTTTTTTAATTTTCGAAATTATACATTTTTTTTACCTAAAAAAATTTTTTTTAAAAAATCTTCCTTATGTTTTATATATAATATTGAAGCCCAAGATTTTCCAAACAAAATGGTATATAGAACAGTATAATTAACATTGTTTTTAAGCTTCTCAGATCAGTTTTAATAAAACCTTGCAAATGAGCAAAAAATAGGCTGACATTAAGGCCAAAACACGTGACACTCGGAGGGTTAAAGTAGTATGTTTTCTGTGATCGTAGGCATGTAAGTTAGGCTATTGGTAGATACACGAAAATATTGGCACTGGCAAGCTTATTTCGTAAGATAGGCTAGGTGTTGTAATATGGTGTTACCAAGTACGCTTAGCGTAGACTTGAAGTTAACTTAACAGTTAACAAAATGCATCTCCAATGGTGAAATTGGTATACGCATTCTATAGAGAAACCTTCAGTGTTTAATAAAAAACCTAGTTTTTACTTGGCTAGGTTAGGTAGCATAACCTCCGAAACACGGAAGGTTTGAGGATTTTTTACTAGTTGAGTTGTATGCTAGGTTACGTACCGCTTTGTATTCATATTGGAGCTGACGTGCCGCTGCGTCAGCCATGCTAGGCTTATTTTGTTTTACGTTAAACTACTTAATATCACACGAAATAAAACTTATCGCTGTAAAACGTTTGACATCGTTTAGAAATCATCAAACATCAAACGACAACCATGTTGAAGTGAAGAAGAAGAAAAACAATCCTCAGACAGACAGCCAGCCGCATCAATTACGACCCAACTCGATCCGCTCCACTGTCCACTCCACTTTCGACCATTTCACCAGTGTTGCCAACACAACACACTCTAGTACTAAGTGTTTGCTCTAAATAAACATTGACTACTGACTATAATCATAGATAAAACATACTCCTCATGTTTTATCTATGCTATAATAATTGATTAATTAACTATTATAACTAGCCATGGTGGAAGGAAAAACCATAAGTGTGCTATTCATAGTTAAAGGTGGCCGTGGCTATTCCCGTAATATGCTGACGTCTCCCAGATTACAAACAAAACATCACATTGTATTGCCATATAAGTATATATTATGTTTTGATCTGATTGTTATAGTTTTTAATTTTTTTTCTAAATTAATGGTGAAAAATGGTGTTTGCAATCTTGGTGACGTCAGCATATTACGGGAATAGCACACTTATGTTTTTTCCTTTAACCATGATCACTATCATTCTATTATCATTGACTATACATCATTCGGTATATAGTCAATGCTATTATTATGAGGAAACCATACCAGGTGCACATTTTAACCCAAATGAAGAGCGGGATTGCTGAAGGATATTTTTATTTTTCACTGCAAAGTGATCTGTGTTCCCACACAAAACGTTGGCAGCTAAAAAATCCCTATTCTATTATGTGCCGTCCTTTTCTATGTAGCTGCTACAATATATAACAGAATGATCTGATATCAGCCCCACCCTGGCACTGCTAGTGTACAGTAAAGCCCCTGTCACACGGAGCTGGTTCCAGCTGCTGGTTCTCGCTGCGAGAACCAGCAGCTTTAGTTGATAGTTCTCCAGCGCGCTAGAAGTCCTGTCAGACGAAGCTGGAGAACCAGCGCTACAGATTACAAGTCTGGTGATGTAATTGGAACTGAGTGTGTAGTTAACAAAAATAATGTCGTCTGTTGGCTTTAGAAGTGATGTTTTGTCTAAGATCAGCCATCATAGTAGTAAAATATGCAAGGAAATAATAAAATTTTAATATATAAACACTAATTAAAATCGAATAACTTGTGGTAGGCGTATAACAAAAGGACTTTATCATTCATCTATAAAAAAAAATACAAATGCATTTAGTAAATAATGTGAGATTTAGCTATCGTAAAAACAAGAAAATTTTAGCAATGCGTGAATAAATTTCTAAACATGAAAGCTTAAATTTATTTACGATTAGTTTAAATAAATTAAAGTTCATTTTACTTATTGCGAGAACTAGCACAATACTGTCAGACGGAGCTGGAATGGCGCTAGAGACCACAGCTGGGTGATCACGTGACCTGCTAGTGACTCTTCAAGCGCTTGTAATATTAAACCGTTTAAAACCTCCAGGGGCTAGAGATACCAGCTCATGCGAGTGTTTCTAGCAGCTGGAGAATCAGTCACACGATGCTGGTTTTATGCTGGTTCTGCTGGTATAACTTGTTTCAGAGCTTATATTCTAAAGAAAAGACTGGTTGTACATTTGCATAGAACACGACACTCGTTCCGGTCCCTTCTCATTGCCCATAGATGTTTTAAGGACCCCTTCACACTGGGCCACCATGGTAATGACACCGGTAGCGACACCATGGTGGCTACGTTACATTAGTGTTGATTAAATGGGACATCTTCACACTGAGCTTTGATGGCCCAGCTGGCTGCGCGACCAGAAATGCGGTGGCTCGGGGTTGCGATTTTCAAAGACACCACGTCGGGGTGGCGCCACCACGTCGCACCATGGTTTCTTATCGGACTGTTCACATTAGAGCGAGTGGCAGCGCCACCGGTTACTACCAGCGGGTATATATACTAAATGGTATATTAACTATGTTTTATTTAATTTGCCTCAACGTTAGTTAGCAATTTCTCTTCTGGAGGTATGCTGTCCCGCAGTCTCATTGATTGTGCTGATATTTTATCTTTCAGACGTCCCAGAAACTCATCAAAACTTAAAACACTCATTCTTGAGTAAGTGTACAACTTGTCAGGGTTATTTCTAGGGTCCTGGTAGTGATGAAAAAGTTCCTCTGGTACTTCTATCTCTTAAAAATGGATGACCCCGACCCCCAAAACAACGTTTTATCCTATGTTTTCGCAATTTCAAAAAAAATATACGCTAAGCACCTGCCTCTTCGACGTCCAAATGTGAACTTTGTGGCTGCAGCTGCTGCACTGGTGGCTGAGCTGGTGGTCCATACACATTTTGACCGGCCACCAGTGTCGCCACCGGTGTCGCCACCATGGTGACCCAGTGTGACTAGACCCTGTTTCGATCATCTCGGATCCCCTCTACAAACACAATTGTACATCATTATGCGTTGAGCGTTTGTCTATCAAATATTTGTATGAATATGATTTTAAAATCTTTTACTCGCGACGAGAGGGGCATTGTTCCCACGATTTTTCAGGTTTCTAAAAGCTATATGTAATAAACATTAAAAACGTACTAGACTACTACTCAAATGCAATGGCAATGTACTCAAAAAATTATTACTGTCTTATTGACTTTTTGAAAAGAATTAGTTGGTCGGCTGGATCGTATAAGGCTTCTTGAGACGACTTCGGCGACTTATATGTAAAGGCAAATCATTACATCTGTAAATATAGTTATCAATTTTATTTATTTATATAATTAAATTAACAGTACAAAAGAAAGTTTTACCACTTTCTCGTTTAATTTACTATGGCGGATAGCGATGAAAAAATGGTAAATAAAACTAAGTACAAAATTATAACTAGTTTAACAAATGAACCTTCTACAGGAGGTTTGCTGTGCTGCTTCTATGATATAACCTATAAGGATAAAGGACATGTTATAAATTGACCCTCATGTAAGAGACAAATAAAAGTTATTTCATTGATAGTTAACCAATTTGTAATCATAATTATTAAGAGTCATTGGAGGCTAGCGGCCATCTTGGATGATTTCAAACAACTGCTGAAAAGCTAATTATCATCCAAAAATAGTTTTTCAAACACCAAAGTGATTATAATTTAAATATCTTGTATACTATGAGATTGGGGAGCGAGCTGGTCTAGTGGTTAGAGCGCGGGACTCCGGCTCATGGGGTCCCGGGTTCAAATCACGCCATATCACCAATGGATTTTATCTAACCCCTAGGTCTAGCCTGAAGTAATGTGAAAAACAATTCCGGGCTCGTGCCTAGCGTCCTAGGAAAAAAAATACTATGAGGTTTAAAATGTTTGTTGTTTTATATTGATTTCCAAGGGAGTTCATGGAACCCAACGGCCATCATGGATTTGCCTGCCATAAGAACAATGTTGATTTTTTTTACAGATGCTGAAGAGTTATTTACCACCTCAAAATATTTTTCACCACACTATGATGTGTTTAGCTGTTTTACATCGTTAATTTGTAGCTGAAAGTTACGTTTTGCTGGCCATGCCGCCAGCTGTCATCGTCATTTGGGGACCGTGAAGGTTTTTACATCCCTGGGGCCCCAAAATCAGCTGCCCGCTTACTTTCTTAAAACATGAATGCATATTAAATACACAGTCAGTATCCATAGCATTGAAATAGAATTGTTTTATTGTCACTGCTGCTTGCAACTATTTATTATTATTTTTGTTGATTCCTCAAATAATTTCTTTACATAGCCTTGAAGTTGTAGTTGTGTTTACATATAATACGTGAAGGCGATTTCTACGAAACACTACTCCTCCGTTAATATTGGACGGATTTTTACAAACGATGTGTCGAAATTAAGTATTTTTTTGTGTAGACTTTTCACCAATTCCTGTAATAAAAGTCCTCGGGCTTTGCCACAAAGGCCATCAAAATCCCACTGTATTTCTTACGAAGACAAGATCTGTTTACTTAAACAGACAAATAATTCGTATTATTGCATACTAAAACAGCTGTTCGTAGTAAAAATATTACACACACAACAGCGTTCGTTTTCAGAGTGAGCTCGTTTTCAGTTTCGATAACTGGAGAGGAGTGATTGATTATTATCTTTGAGCAAACTCTTCGGAAATTATGACTGTTATTCGTTGTGAAATAACACCTGTAATACTTTGCAATTGCTCGAATTCGAGCAACATGTGCACTAGTTAATAGTGGTAGGTAATAGGGTATAGTGTGGTGAATAATAGCTTTCGTGCCACGGACCGAAATGCATTTTCGGCCTTAGGTACGAAATATACTATTTAAAATACTTAAGTGATTGTAAAATATCTAGTATTCTGTGAGATTAAAAATTGTATTTGTATTTTTTAAATTGTTTTATGAGTTAGAAAGTCTAGGCTCCAAGCTCCAAGGGCTCTTAACTGAGAAAACATATACTACTGAGCTACTTGTTTAGAACAATATTAACTCCTATAATTTGTAAAATCTAAGCCAGATAACAAAATGGTATTAATTTCTTGATTAGTATTTTACGTGTTAGCACCGTTTACATTTGTTCCAACACTATCAAAGTCTCCTATAACCTCATTCGATGTTTTCACACTGTAAATATTTACAGTAATTACAGTTTATGTAAAATACATTGAATAGTTTTGGAGTTAGTGTATCTTACTTCATATTTTATATTCTCATAAACATGTCTTTGAAAGCTCATTTTATGTAGACAACACCATAAAACAGACCTCCCCTTATAGTAATCACTAATTTAGTAGATTAGAGTTATTGAGAAATTTTAGTGTTTTATTTATTCTAACCTGACTGTTTAATTATTTGTTTCATTTACTAATTCTAACCTGATATTTTCAAATGTTTTTTTTTTAACTCAGAACAAGAGACGAAACTGCATCTCTATTGAATTGAGACAGTGAATTAAAATTATATTTGGCGTATAAATTCAATTATTGAAAATTATTATCCCATAGTTCTCTATCTCAATCTCTCCCGCAAAGAAGTGCTGCTTCCTGGCGGGCGAGACAGGAAACTCCTTTGTTGTAGTTGTAGTTCAATATCGAACGTTGGCAGCACTGCCTCTACCAATCGCAGGACTCGTTCTTGTTTTCGCTCTCTGTCTCTCTCCTCGTTTCATTCTATCACTCGCCTCGCGTCCGGTCCGCGTCAGTCGTTTCTTGTCCGTCGCTGCTGTGAGGTAGACATGGCTGTGAAAGTGAAATGGAAATGTACTTGTGCTGTGTTTGTGATGATTTTAGTGAATATTGTGAGTGGGATGTTCACGAAGCGGCACTGCAGTCACCAGCATCCAAAGCCAAATGAGGTAAAAATCAATACTTCTCAAAGAAATCGTAGTTTTATGTCTGTTGGCGGCACCATCACAGAACTGTCACTTTTTATCACATGGTTGTAGTAAACAAACGCCCCCTTTTACGACAGAGTTGATTTGGGGGATTTATTAGTCAATTAATTTGGGTTATTAGCTAATGCGACCGTAATATATGGTTAAAAGCATTGACTATACACCTCTAGTCAGTGTTAAAAGTGTCCAAATAATAAATTAATCTGACATAACCTATAATAAATTCACTTGTCACATATTTTGTTATTGGTTAGTGCAACTTAAATGTTAACCAAACAACGTGATTTATAAACTTGCTAATCGATATACAGTACTGATACTGTTGGTAGGCACGAAACTATAAATAAATCAGACACCGTTATTATGCAGGGAGGTACATAATCTTAGATAAATTAGACAAAATTGCGTTTTTAGTTGTCCTTATTAACTTACATCTAACTTACCTTAATTTCAATGCACACTTATTGTTTACTTTGTATAAAGCATCACCCTAACTTCAGCAATTCAGCTAATAATAGTTAAATTGCTGGGTGTAGCTGTTTCGCTGTTTGTTATTTTTGTGTTCGCACTGTCTTAAATTTTTTAAACAGTTTAAACTTACAGTTAAAATATTTACTTGTAATTTCTATTCTGTACTAACGACAAGTCATGTATTGCAGCTAAACTTATCCAATATTTCAACACATTCCGGTTCCGTTGTATTTGGTTTTCACGCAACTCCATTTAAATTTTATTGAATTGCTAGGTCAGGTCCAGTCCAGTCTGTGTTTTTTCAGACTTAACTTTGGTTTGACGTAAAAAAAAACATACTTTGAGCCTATTGAATTTATTTTTTTGGTGGTGCTTCTGTATTCAAATTTTAATTTTAAGAAATTTGTACCGTACCGTAATTATATTTTACTATGTCGTGGGGAACTCACAATACAGAACCGCCATTCTAACCGTGAATATAACCCATTGGCTGATAAATTGGCTATATTTTGCAATGGTATTGTTATCTAGATGTTATAGTTTTGCTGCAACCGGCATTATCGATCACACGGCAGGCGCGGGAACCAGACCAATCGACAAACAGGTCGACCGTGAACGAGAGTGTGGAATTCTTTTGCAACACGATCCGGGCAATGGCAAGCCGCCTATGTCTACTGTTGTACTGACCTAGACCCAGGATATGTCTATTGAGCGTAAAACATGATCTGTCAGGTGCAGGTGGAAATTTTGTTTCAGAAGAAATTTAATTTGTTTTACTGAACATCCACCATGTATTTCATTGGCGTTATTGTGCAATAAAGTTAAACAGTGTTAAACAATATCTTTAAGTTGTTAATTAATTATGCAATATGACGAACAATATAGGCCCTAGTGATGAAATATATATTTCGGACCAGATGTATCAGTTATGTAGGTTTATGATCCATAAAGGGTCTGTTCAAGTGTTCGTGGTACTGTATACTCCATACTCGACAGACCTCTTTCCCTTTTGGTATGTACCTCTACCAGGGGCGTCGTACGAAAACAATATTGGAGGGGGGGGGGGGTTGGAGACAATTTGAATTTCCAAACTATTTTACGCGGATTTCCCAACTTTGCGACTCGAATTTTCCAACTATGACTTATGACTGTACTCAGATTTCCAACTAATTAAAGTAAAAAGGGTATTTTACCTTTAAATCCTCTTCATGGTTTGACTGTCAATCTTCATTGTTGATCGTGCCTTTGTCTTGAGTGCCACAACACATGGTCACACTGTGTAGGTCTACTGATCAATAGCCTAAATAATACAGTAAGTTTTCAGCCTGTTAAAATCAATTTAAAATAACAACTCGGTGGATACGGCTCTCCACACATAGCTCTGAAAGAAATTTCCCTTTAAAGCCTTGAATTACTGTGTACTACAGATACGTTACGAATATGACATTTCCAACACTTTTTTACTTTAATTATTAGTTTATAAGGTTAAATGTCTGCTTAGTTTAAAATTCACTTTTAAGTTGACAGTTGAACAACAGTTTCAAACTTCCTAAAATCCCAACTCGTACCTTCAAATACCCCAAATTTCCCAACTTTTACACTTTTCAAAGGAGATTGGGGGGGATGGCTCCCCCTACCCCCCCCCCCCCCACCCTTTGGCGACACCCCTGACCCCTACAATAAATGTGTGATATGCGTGCCACTACTCCCATGAACCTTAAACGATAAATTAATTAACTCAATTATTCGTTCATCGTCGACGAATCAATCATACACAAGCATAATGTTTGCCGAAGACTCATCCGGAAAGCCTCGTAGCTATGTAAACCTTTTAAATATTTCTCATATTCTCAGCTATCCAGCCAACCAGCTGAACTATCATCGCTTTTCCAAACACACATAAAAAATTAAATACCCACCGTGAGTGAAAGTCGCGCCGCCGTGTGGAAGCTCTGTCAAAGGACGCGCGCCTTGGAGCTAATTTCCTCATTCATGGCATTGCCGCGCCCTGGGCGCTTGAATTGTTGTCAAGGGTATAACTTTCTTTTGACGGCATATATGAATATTCACAGAAAACGTGAGCGAGTGAAAGGGGGAGGTTGAATGTGACGTCAGTATTAAATTTTGTTTAAGAATTATTCTTTGTTCCCCGGAATTGTACCCAAGTTATACGGTGTATTTACATCTGGATTTCACGTAGCCAAGTTTTCATGTAAAAATGAACATAGATTTGCTACGAATTTAAATGTCAAATAAATTAGACTGGTTAAAATTTTATTTACGACTGAGTTTTTATTAGTCTTGATTATTGGTATAATTAAAGTCTTAATTTTAAACCCTCTAGTAAATATTAAACAACGATTTTCAAACATAAAGTCCCACTCGCCGGTAGCAGTGTTTCTGTGAAACAGAAATGCTTAACAAAAAGAACTGTAGTTACTGGAGAGCTTACGACGGCAAAAATATTTTTATATTAAGATTAACAATGTTTTCACGACTTATTAACTTTGATAAATGACCGACCTTTTGTGTTCTCTGCAAAAAGAAACTTTGTTTTAGTTGTCACAGTAATAAACTGCTAAAGCATGTCATTACTGTACATTATATTACTTATTATTTGTTTATTATTTGCAGTAATTATTTGCATTGTCTCAGAATGTAGTTGCAGATGCCGATAATTACCTCACCGCATCGCTGTTCCATGTAGGGCGGATTATCGCTCTGCTGGGTTTCTCACAGACCTTGGGAGATTTTATCATATCTTTTGTCTAGTTCACAATATAATATTGTGTCACACAATTAACAACTGTGGCGTAACGTGAGTTGCATCGTGAGAGTGGTTGGGTCCTGGGTCGACGTTGGTTGTTGTTGGTACAATGCAATGTCTTGGCTTGGACAATATGGCTTGTCACGGTATGTGTCAATGTTTACATGTTGCGACATCATCTGAACCAATCAACTCTGGTGTCAGCAAGTTATTCAGTTTATTAGGACACAATTAGTCACAGAGGGCGTACTTAAATTCTGTTTTTCGAGAAAACACACATAGTTAAGCTCGAAATGTGAGGTGTTTCAAAAATCTCGTGGAAAAGTTATTTTAGTGTATTATATTTGTTTGTTCTTGTTCATTTCGCAAGACTCATGAAACATCCTGTGGGGGGCTCTATGGTAAAACAGAAACAGCAATATTACGCCATGTCATGGACTCGGAACATAAACAAAGTCTCCGTAACATCCTTTTGCCAGCTGTCCTATTGAACCTATATTTATACGATTGAGGTGTCATTTTAATGCTTCGATCTAGTGAAGGGATGACAGGTAACCGAAAAGTAATTTCCTTTAGGGCTTCACCCGTTGCGTTTAATTTATTTTTAGCGTTCGCTTTTAAAAATCCAAAGAAATGCTGACGGTGCTAACTAACTCCTTTAAAATAGTGCCATATGTTAAGATTATTTGTTTATTTAGGCTTTTTCAGATGAGAAATTCTGTATATATTTCGTTATTCGTCTTACTCAACCGTCTCACTGCACTCGTGGTCCGTAATGTCAACGGGGTTAGTTAACTAATCTTTTGTCGCACAAAACACAAAACAACTTCATGTTTTAATAATGATATGCATGTGACGCTGAAAGGGAATGCTGGATTTAAAGTTTTCTGGGAGTAAAATTAACTCGGTGAAAACACCGGTGGAATGGGAAAGTTTACAGGACCACATAGCCAACGCTCAACAATGTTTTCCATTCCAACTTTTGATGATTTGATAAGTAAGACCTCTGAATTTGACATTTAACGCTCATGCAATTATTCTACTTTATGTTTTGTGTTGCTTATTTGCATGTATAAAGCAAAAGAAAAAGTTACGCAATTTTATATCTAGACTTTTGCCTTGTTTGTTTGGTATTTTTATTTTTACTTGTAGCTAGAAATTCATTATGTTTGTTTTAAATTAACTGCCTTTAAACCAATCTAAATTATTGAATAACATGTAGTAGATGACTAATATAACCTAACATCCACGATTGCTTACCATGGTAAGGCACCTGTAAAAATTCCTTTAGTCTTCCTTTAGGCACTTTCCTATAGGTTCGAAATTATGTTTTTTTTATTGAGAAAAAAATATCTTTGATGATAATTTGGATTGTTGCGTTTTTGTCTGTTTAGCTCGCCGTCTATTACCGAACTGCAGTGCTTTCAGAGCCTGATCGCACGTTATATGAGTTATCCGATTTAATCTATAGTCACTCACGATAATCACATAGCCCCGTTTAATTTAAACATGAGAAAATACATTGCGATCAATTACACCCTGAAGAAGAAGGGTTTATTTTCAATTAACAATTAAGGTGAAAATTAACCAGTTATTAGTGGGCGGATCAATATTTATCACGAAATGTAAACACATGTGCGGATAGTGAATGTGAAAGCTCTTGCAGAGAAATGCCACAGTCTGGGCAGTTACCCTTGACATTATCATGGTGTCGGGCGTTGCT